GTCATACGGAGCCACCAGAGCAGTCAAAGGATCTCGTCAGAATGCATATGCCGGCTTAGCTCTGGCGACCAATCGCATGGATGACCAGTTCAAAAAGCAAGGTGCTAAACGAATCTACATGCAGCGCGAGGAGAATCACCAACGACTATGTACCGAGCATGCCGACCAGACCCATGGATGAATGCGGCGGGCAACGAGACGTCCTCTGGCGTGGCCAGCCCGGTTGGATGGTTTGGACCGGTTGGTGCTGGGGGAATTGGACACCGAGAGGAGAACCCTGGGAACAATTCCTGGGCGTCCTTCTGCTAGAGAGGTACGGAGCACAGTACCCAGCACCTCGGAGGCAGGACGCAGCTCGGGCGGCAAAGGCATCAACGAATTTGTGCAGAGGGCTAACGCGGATGCCGGGACTTCTGTAGTCTCACTCGGGAACAATGGCCACAGCCACGATAGCTCTGCCCTTATACAAACCGGGCACACCACTGGTGAGAATCAGATGCATGGTCCTCTTCTATTCGCCGTACCCAGCAGTGGACACTGGGAGGGAGAACAAGCCGTGGGGGCCCCGGCAACATGGTGTGTGTCTAGGGGATTCCCGGGTGCCGGTCGGCCTTGCCCCAGCCTCCAGGATTGCTGGGTTATGGACTAACAACTCATTTGGCTCGAGGTTCGGTGATAATCGACCTCGTAAAGGGCCTTGGTTAGGGCTCTTCGATGACGGGTCAGAGCTGAGTCACATCCCGGCCAGCGGAGATCTGTCCACTGGGGGCTTGGGTTTGCTTTGCCCTACCTAGATGGTGAGGGAAGGATGTACGAGGTATTCATCCTTGCCGTGAATCCAAGAACTAAGTTAGCTCAACAGGCTACCTAGGAGGGCGCTGGTAGGGAGTAGCTGACCTATCCGCACCTACCATGCCGCATCCCTCCTCCAACCCCTGCCTTTTAATCACCATTGGACAACAACCTCCTGCCTCATCCGTCCCATGCGGCTCTATCTGCGTGTGTAGATGCGGGGGCTCACTAGGCCAGTCGTTTTCTCATGAGTCCAAACCTAAGTTCTCCTAATTTGAGCTACAGGTCAGTAGGTCCTAAATCTGTCAGGCATCGATTCGCTGGCTCACAGTCCCGGATGTCGAGCTCTTATGCATTCTTCCCTGCAGCGCCTACGCCGTTAACATTTGGAACTTCACTCCGCCTCCGTTACGTCGACCGTTGCTTTTGACCTCGACCCTTCAGCCGCTCTCCTCCTTCGTGGGCACCCTGTTATGCCCGGTCTCGAAACTTACTGTCAAGTCAAACCGAGATGAAGAGGCTGTCCACATCGTGGTTAAGTGCAGCAGAACACAAAAAGAAAGGGGTCAATCTGACTGAGAGGCTCTCGAAATGGATAAAATATTATCATACATCTCTGGGGAGTTAACCATCGGACACATTCTTAGAGATGGGCCTATGTCTGAAATGTGGCAACGCCGTAAACCCACCCAGCTCCTGCTGTACTCTTTCAACATTTTGGATCGAACCATCACCACATACGACGTCGAGATCGGATACCATCATTGCTGTCAATGGGTGGGACAGTCCCAAGGCAGTACCAAAGCTGTATTTCACGGGCTCTGCCGCGCCCTTGGGCGGGAGCCCATCTTTCTCGTAACGAGGCAGGTTGGTCCATACCTGTGTCCTGGGACACTTGAACGAGCAACGGTTCGCAATTGGGTGAGTGACAGTCCGATTCGTGCGACGGGATAATATTATCCGCTAGCCTTTCAAAGGAATTTCTTGCAACCTTGACCAGCCTGGGCTTATGCTTCATGGCCATGTCCAGTTTCTAGCATGGCCTGCTGGTCTATCTGAACGAATTACGTCCAGGTAGTTCTCCATATGCGGTCGGTTTTCCGCAAACATTGCAACATGCAATGGTGGGGGGCTGAAGTTTCCTTGCCGTTTTCCCGTCTCTAGGCCCGATCCCTGCAACGCTTGCATCGATCGAGAGTTAATGCTACAATCTTTGTTCAAGCATGTTCCGTCTCTCCTGATGGGCAATGGGATAACGTGCACTGACACTAGTGAGCTCGATCGTGAATGTGGCAAGGCTGAAGTAGATTAATCAATGTCGTGCCGCGAGGCTCTGCCCGAACCAGAAGTCCGAGGGCACCCAATGCCTGTAGGATTGCCACATGGTATTTTTCTCCCTGATTCTTATCTGGTATGATTGACTCGCAGGAGTAGTTACCGATGGCATGGACGTCCATCATGTATACTGACACAACGTCTGGGAATAGGTGCCTTTACCAAAAGTCCCGCGGCCTTGGATTAGAATCTCGGAAAGTCTGGGAGGATGCACCTAAGCCTCTGTGGAACATCGTCTCGCCCTCACTGGTTATTCCTTGCGAGGAATCGCTGATCTGTGAAGCTTTATGCCTTCATATCCTGCAGAAACGGTTTTCTGGTCTGTTTCTCGCCGCCACCACCTCGACCGCCTCGATGAATTGAAAACACGCCTCCTATTCTATATTTTGCAAGTCGGGCTGATACACTACCGATTTGGCTTACTTTCAGGTGTCGGTTCAGGTACGACCTTCCCGCCTTGATAGTGCTGCATAATATGTTCCACTCAGGAAATCAACTCATACGTCGTCTCTTCGACGGCCAACTCTTTCGTTAGCGAATTCTCAAGTGTCTGTGTCACGAGTTATGCACAACTTTGTGTGGCACGGCACGCTGACACCTCTCTCAGGTGTGGATGTATGAGACGTGAAAGGCGGGTGGCCATTGTTGGACTGTTGTCGATGCGCTCGAACCGGAGTGGACCAATTGAACCTCACAGAAGTGCTGGATGAAGTGTCATCCATTGACGTGGCTGTCAACCCATCCACTTCCACAAACGAGACGGGAGCTGTGTTTATGATTCCATCCAGCTGCTGCTGCTGCCTGTCTGGTGCCTAGTGGTGCTCGACGGTGAGGAGGTTCTGATATCAGGTCATGCTCGGCGCCAGAAGTGAACACAAAGACTTGTTCTCAATTGATCAATGTTCTTTATACGGCTCCTACGTGGCTGATGGTGTGATGGGCGCTGGTAGAGACAATACATCTTGGCCTAGCTCGTGAATGGGCGTGTTGTACGAAACTAGCCGCTTGCCATGGAAAGGCGCACCTTTCATTTCCCGTTCACGCTGCCGACTTTGTCTGGTCTGGCAGGGTCGTTTGCGGTTCATGCCAACCTGCTCTGACACAGCATTTAGTACCTGGTTCGCGCACCGCAGGTCACTTTATTATGCCGTGATTCCATTCTCGTTTCCGGCTGTAGCTGGGGGGAGAGATATGGTGAACACGAAGATCACCCAGTAAAATCATGATGATTGTCGTTGGTGAGCTCTTGTAGGATGAGCGGGAGGTGTCTGGGTCCCTTCTGTCGGCCGTAAGAAGGTGGACTTGTTGACTTGCCCAACTTGCGACGACGCAATGAGGCATGAAATTACGGAGAATCAAAGAGTCGGGATGTACACTTCTCGTACCCAAAGGCAGATGGCCTTGTGATTTCATCTCGACTCCGGAACAAAGTCAATAATCTCTGCAAAGTCTCCTGGCGATTTTGGATAGAGAGTGTTCGACCTGGTTTTGTCTTCGAGTGGAATTTGCGCTTCAAGTTGCCATCTGCCGCCGACTTTGGGCCAACGTTTTTCCCTTCAGAGAACACGAGATGGTGTACTATTTCAAATCATCCGCAGTCGACCCTCCTGCTTTCATTTACGTGGGGAAAGACAAGGTTGAAAGTGCGTTATGTGTTTTTGCCCCCAGTAGCCAGGAAGCTCAGATCTCTGACGGCGGACACAGATGAAGATCTCATCAAGTTCGGCTGGGATGAGGATGTTTGGTGAGGTGTCCCGCTTGAACGGCTGTGGTGGAAGATGACTTACTCTTGCAAGGGTACTACGGTCGGATCGGATCGAATCCAGACAAGGTTCGCTGATGTGCAATAGTTTCACGTCGACAACCTTTCGAGTGCCCACGTCTATCTGAGACTAAAGCCTGGTGAATCGTGGACATCGATTCCGCAAGCATTACTGGAAGACTGCGCGCAATTGACCAAAGCAAATTCGATTGAAGGTAGGTATCGCCGTCGACCGTGTATGGACGCCCGAGCGTTTGATTGACCAGCTACCAAAGGCAATAAGAAGGACAATATTACAGTCATCTACACACCTTGGTCGAATCTGCGAAAAGACGCCTCAATGGCTACAGGTCAAGTATCGTTTCACGACCCCAAGATGGTGAAGAAGATCCATGTGCCGGCAAGGCAAAATCCCATTGTCAATAGACTCAACAAGACTCGGGAAGAGCGATTTCCAGACCTGAGGGCTGAGAGGGAGGCAGACCAAAGAGACAAGCGCAAGGTCGAGAGGATGGCGCGGGAAGCGCAGAAGGCCAAGGATCGGGAGGAGAGACAACGACGGGAAGAGCTCCGATGGCAGAAGGACCATGCGTACGATGACATGATGAGGGAGGAGAACATGGTGAGCAATCAGGACCGAGACGCGGCCTTCTATGAGGACGACTTTATGTAGCGAAGGAATGGCGGCGAGGCGGATATCCCCAGTCTCGACTCTCGCCACGTGGGGAATGAGGCTGAGCATGAAACAACCAAACAAGTTGGAAGCGAGAAGCTTTTCGCAACCCCAGATCAGTTCATTTCCACCAAACCAAAGCACAATGTGGTAGCCGATCTCCTTTTCTTGTCCATTGTGTACTGGGTATTCCACTGCTACTCGCCTCGCGCCTGTCGCAACGCTCCTTATCGGTGTGCTCGGGTGCCTCTCTCTTTGTGCAACACCCCCTACTGGCAGACCGCGCCCACGTTGAGCCCTAGCTGCCTGACCTCATTCTCTCTCACCTCTACCAACCTCGCTCTCTGCGCACCCCAGACACTCTGCGTCCACCATCTAGCGACTGTGTTTCTGTTCTTGTCACGACACCAATACCGACACTGCCAGATTCTCTCTTCTATGGCTTCTACTGAGGCGCCTCCCAGGCCTCACGGTAAGCACCGGCCCACTGCTTCGTCCCACCATTCTAACTTGACCCGACCAGACCGACATGGCCGCCGACGACCCTTCACTACCTGGATGCGCCGACTCGCGAACCTCAAGTCTCTCCATACTGACTCGAATACCGAGACTGGCGCAAGCTCACGCCGCTACGCAACCCTACCTATGACCATCAAGTCCAAGAAGGGCAATATCGCGAAGAACAATCCCTACCCTCTGTCCTCGCGCATCACCGAGCCTCACAATCACAGTAGCACGACCAATGGCCATCTCTCATTCTCCACGCACATGGCATCGTCCCAGCGATCTAGACACAGTTCCCTGTCACAGTCCCAAAGCAAACACTCGATTTCCATCTCCCACGACAGCCAGACCGGCGGCAACAAGTCAAGAGCTCCCACCCTGGCCACGCAAGCAGAGACTGCTCTCTCAGACGCAGCCCCTTCAGGAGCAGGTACAAGTGCCACGGTTGCTACAAAGACCGATGGCGGCAGGGACAGCACATTTTCCTCCCCCGCTCCATCTATCCGGTCTATGGCAACGACCCTGACCACAGTCCAGTCCATTGCCGCACCGTCACATAACAACAACAACAACTACAACCACCCCGGCGGGACACCAGTGCTTACGCATACTTCGACTGCCGCAAGCAACCCCGTTTATTATGGCGGACAGCCCGCAACCGCGGTTCCAGCGCATCTTGCTCCTCACTCGCATCCGACAACCTACCACTCGGCAATAGCCAACAATGTACTCACAGACGACGCCTCAATCCTCACGCTAGCATCATCATCCAAGCGCCGAAGGAGAAATTCGGTCGATACCAATGCGTCTATAAAAGCACTTGCCCCGGCGTCCATGTTTGGCGGGAGTCGCGAGTCCCTCCCATTATCAGTGCTGTCTGGCACGGTCATTCATCCTAGTGCAACGGCAGATACAGCGTCTCTTCGCGGGGACGTGGCGCACAACACACGCTCGAACCTGAATGCCGAACGTGCCAGCCTGATCTCAGCAAGCGGAGTGACTGCCCCCGCCCTGGCGAGCGAGAGAAACAGTTACATCGGGAGCAAGTACGGAGGCGGCGATAGTGCAAGTGTGAGAAGCAATCTTTTGGGCGCCAGTGGTGGTCATGGGCGGAATGACAGCCTCAGTGGTAGCATAGGCGGCTACAGGGAGAAGGAGCGAGAAAAGGAAAGGGAAAAAGAGAGGGATCGAGGCATGGAAAAGGTTGGGGAGTCAGAGAACGAAAACAGCAACATCCCCGGGGTGGTCACGGCACCGACGAGTCCACTGGTCGATGGGCAGCGCGACGGCGCGGCTGAGACGGCGTATACAAGTACCTCGGCGGTGGGGGAAGGAGGCGAAGCGCCGGACCAGGGGAAGGACAAGACTTCGTCGGACGAGAGGTGAGATGGTTAGAACGAGGTAATAGTGCGACGATCCCTCCTGGTTTGGGGATGAAACAGTTCAAATGACGGATGGATGCTTTCACGGGTTGATATCGATATTGATATCGATACTCACGGGTATATGATAATGCGCGGAGTCTGGGCTGGGCTGGGCTGGGCTGTGGTCTGTGGTCTGTGATGTGTGTGATGCCGAACAGATAGAATATGATACCCCGTCCGCGCCTGTTGAGACAAATTTGCATGCATGAGAACCAAGTCAAGTCCATTGGGCAAACATACCTGGCGAGCTAGGTACATCCTCGTCCTCCTCGTCCTCCTCCTCGTCGAACCAACCCTTCCTGGACGGCGTGACATTCATATCAATGTCATACCGGCTGGCCTTTAATATTGCGTGGCGTGACGTGTGAGATGCCCGCGCAGTGCTCGGTAGATTCAAAGTCTGCATACTACAAATATTGCGTTTCGTGTCTCTTATGTACCACGTATCTATGTGTATATGGAAATGAGGGGTTCAATCAACTCCTATTGAAGGAGGGACCTTCGGAAGGGCTCGTTGGTATCCGGGAATGCATTGCTTTCGTTCGTTCTATACACGGGGCCTATTTAAACTAAGGTATACACCAGAAGCTGGCGGTGGACGAAGATTAGAACCGTGCCTGGACTTTGCTCTGCACGTCCTGGATGGCCCAATCGGAAAACTGCTTCTGGCTGACCGTCCTCCGGACCTGCTCGGTCGTGAAGCCTTTGGCCTCGGTGGCGGGGTTGTAGCCCAGGCCGTTGATCCTGCCGACTTCCGCGTCCGAGACAGGCGTCGCGACCTTGCCGTCGGCGCGTTTGTACACTGTCACCACGACGGCACCGCCTAGGCCGAGGTTGTGTTGCAGGCAGTACCTTGTGTCTTTGACCGTGCGGTTGTTGGCCCAGCCGCGGAGGTGCCATGTGAGCTCGGCGCATTGGGCGAGACCGGTAGCTCCTGTCCAACTTGTCAGCATTTGGGCGGACGGCGTGGGGGGTGGGAAAGCGAGGTGTAAGCTGGCATACCTAGAGGGTGGCCCTTCGAAATGAGACCTCCCGAAGGGTTGATGACATATTTCCCGCCATATGTGATATCACCTTTCCTCACAAGCTCATGGGCTTTACCCTTGGGACACAGTCCCAAAGCATCGATCACGCACATCTCGTTGGCGCTAAAGCAGTCATGGACCTCGACGACTTGGACATCGTTGGGAGTAATACCCGCCTCAGCCAGTGCGCGTTTACCGGCGAAAACGGACATATCATACCCAACGAGATCTATGGCAGAGCGATTGAAGAGCTCTGGCGAGTCCGTGGCGAGCGATTGGCCGGCGATCAAGACGGCTTGGGACTTGAGGTGAGGTCGCTTGTCGAGGAATTCTTGAGAGACGACAACAACAGCGGCGCCGCCGTCCGAGGTCGGGCAACATTGCAGTTTTGTGAGGGGAGGGTGGATCATGGGAGATTTCATGATCTGTTCTAGGGTGTATTCGTCTTTGAACTGGGAGTATGGGTTCCTCTTGCTGTGCTCGTGGTTGACACGGGCAATCTCGGCAAAGTCTTCTGGCTTTGCGCCGTATTTCTCCATATACTCGCGACCGGCGTTACCAAAGAGCTGAGCGGCGCCCGGAGCATTTGTAACTCCTCGGGTGGCTTTCATCATGGCGTTGGTGGTGGAGGTAGGATTCTCGCGGTCGTTGAAGTATGCTTGTAAGCTGCCGGGGGACATTTTCTCGAAACCGATGACCAGGACGCAGTCGGCCGCACCGTAGGCGATGGCTTGTCTGGCCATATTCAGACCCGTCGAGCCGGTCGAGCAGTTGTTATTGACATTGTATATGGGGATCTGGGTCATGCCGAACTGATAGAAGACGCGCTGGCCGCAAGTGGAATCGCCGTAGCAGTAGCATGCGACGCCCTGGTCGACATCGTCGTAATTGATCTGGGCGTCCAGCATGGCCTTGATGCCCGCCTCGAACCCAAGCTCATGGTAATCCACCTTACCGCGAGGCTTGATGAATTTGGTCATGCCGACGCCTAGCACGTAGGCGGGAGCTGGTTTGCGAGGCATTGTGATGGAGGGAACGTAGAGGAGGAGATGGAGTTGGGTGATCTCAATTAGATGGGTCTGGGGAACAGCTGAGTGATAGATGGACGGGTTGAGACTTGACCGCCCGGTGGCACAGAAGAGAGAGAAAGAGGATGAGGACGAGGACTCAATGGGGAGCAGATATAGATACAAATGTTTTGGGATCAAAAATAATACTCGAGGTGAGATTCCACGGACTTGTTATAGCCTCGTTTCGTCTTCGGCATTATTTGCTACGAGGACCTCGCAGGACCTCGGCAGTGATGCCGTGGACCGACTGGGCCATGGGCTGCGGGGTTCAGTTGGGTGCCCAGCACTGCCTACAAGTACTCTCCGTCCTCCGCTACCTAGGCAATGATCGGATTAATGTAGCTCCATGCTCCGGAAAGAGGCCGCAGTCTGAGGCACTCCCTGGCACTTCTACCGCTGGCATACCTACCCGAGCTGCCTACCCAGTACTGGGTACAGGATGTGCATCATCTTTTGTGGGTTCTTGGCTCACCCTGTCACAGTCCCTGACTTCCAGCGTCCCCTGCTACAACCCCTCTACTTCTTCCTCTCTTGCTTGAACAATCCACGCTACTGTCTTCGCTCCCACCGCCCGACACCAGCAAAGCCTTTCCTTTGGCTTGACACACAGTAATGGATGGCGATTGGAAACGGTCAATCGACATGCGAATCACAGCCGCCCGAATGATGAACTAAGCATCAGTCCAAGGGCCGAACGAGGCCCAGAAGGGCTCAGCAAGGCCCCAGCGACGCCCCCAGGGATGCCTAACGGGACCAATTAGGCGACACCTCCACTGCGCTCGACGTCACGGGCTGGTGTCTGGAGGCAGCAGATTGGTGCAGGCCAACATGGAGACACCCTTAGACACCCCCACCCCATGCATTCATGCATTCATTCCTTACCAAATGCCACCAACCCACACTGCAAGCACCAAGACTGCCATTCACTGCCATCGCTGCCAGTCCACACCGTGCAAACCGTGGTGCGGCCAGGCTCGTTGCACATGTATTCTCATTCTTGCTCTTGCTCGGCCCTGGATGCTCTGGAATTGCTTTGTTCTCCTCTTTCTTGTCTCTCGTGCTCACGTCCTTCCCTGTCGACACAAGTTCTTGACACCGACAACGCCCTTCCATTTCAACTGAACCACTAGCCAATTCGATTCCTGGGCTGTGAGGTCAACACTTTGGTCTGCCCCTCAAAGATCACCGTCTGTCACATCGTCAGCTTCCCACCGCCGTCCTCTTACCTCACCAAAGCCAATCTCCGATCTGCGTGCTCAATTGATCAAGGAGCTACCTCCAGTCGACTGTCACAGCACCGCCATTTCCCTCCTGAACGCTTCGGTGCCGTTTCCAGGAAGTGGCCTTGTGCTCTGGCCGAAATTGTCCCCCGTCGGTGTGCTTGCGAGGGAGAAAGAGTTCGAACAAGCCCGGGCCTGTGATGGAGTGTGGAACGCAGAGGGATCTTCTCAGTCACACCGATTGAGAGATCTATCTTGCGTTCCATCGGGTTCCGCAGCCCATTGTGCGCATGAGCGAGCAAGAGTCGGACACTGGTGGAAATAATATTGTGCTCGCCGGCGCCCCGCGACGGGAAAAGGGAGAAATTCACACGCACGTCGATTTTTCTGCCTATCCTGTGGTCAATAAACGACCACCATCAAGGGGGCGATGAATCATGCCAGTAAAACCGCCGACGATTCTTCACCTCTTGATTATGATCCAACTTCGAAACTTCCCTCCAAATCATCACAACCCCCTATAGCTATGACTGCCCAATCCAAGTTGGACACCGGCTGGAACTCCACCGACACTCGAATCTACTACGCCAAAAAGTACAGACAGGTTCTCTCTTCGGCTCCCGCATGCGCCTTTGCCGTGATCGCAGGGGTGAGTGGCATGAAAACGACCTTGTGGGACACACCATTTGACAATTCTCCAGGCTCCTCTTGAGAATGTCAAGGTCCGAATGCAATCGTAAGCGTGCACCTCAAATTCGGGACGGTGGCGATGCTGATGATGATCAGGCGTCATTTCGCACATGCCTTGGAAGCTACCAAGTACACTTACCGCACCGAAGGCCTCCGTGGTTTCTGGGCTGGTAAGACCAAGAACTACGGAACAGCAGACAGGAACTAATCACTCCAGGCACGTTCAATCCGTTAGTTTCGATCACCACCTCGCGGGCCCTTGGTTTCTCCATCTATCGGAAAGCAAAGTACACGTTTGACGGCTGGATCGAAGCGGCCACTGGCCGATCTCCTCTTCAGCATGTCAACAAACCCGGCACTTACCCTGACATCTACACCATGACTTGCTTTACTGGAGCAGGGATGGTCTCGGGTGCCGTTACCGCCGTGGCTTTGAGTATGCTTTCCCTGCGGATTCCCTTAACAATAGCCATAACTCTAATACTTTACAGCTCCTGTTGAACTCATCAAGAATGCAACACAAACCTCCGTCCTCATGGCCTCTCAAGTTGACCATACCTCGGCGGCACCAACGCCCGTCGGTCCCAAGAACGTCGGCCGTGTCAGTTCCTGGATGTCCATGAAGCGCATCATCGCCCGACAGGGTCCCCTGGGCCTCTGGACTGGGTTCCGACTGCATTTAATCCGGGATGTCATTGGCAGCGGCATCTATTTCGGAGTCTATGAGACCACCAAGCAATCACTGAACTCGTACTATGGTGCTGAGAAGGCTAATTCTGCGGGGGCGATTGCGATGGCGGGAGCAATTTGCGGCGTTGGCGCCTGGGTTGTGGTACGTTCTTCGTGCACTTCCTTCTCCCTTGTTCTTCCTACTTGGATTCTGACACCTTACTTAACAGACCTACCCACTCGACACGATGAAAACCCGCGCACAGAATAACCTGGTGGGCTCTTCTCTTCCCTCCTCCACTCCTAACCAGACTCTTGGCGCGGCGATCGAATCATCCGCCAAAGCCGCCATGCACCGTGTGCCTAGCAAGTGGAAGGGCGTAGAGATGATCATTTTGCGTTCGTCGCTTCAGAACATGATCCAGATGTCGTTCTTCGAGCAGGCGAAGGTGTGGATTGACCAGCTAGAGTTCTCTGATGGCAGCAGAACGCTGCCAGAGGTGGAGAGACATTTTGGGCGAGACAGCAAGATTGTTCCCAAGAATGACAAGTTGTGATGGGCGGACGCTTGGACAGCAAAACAACAGGATAGGAACCTTTCTGCAGCCTGTTTTGGGGGGGTAGAACACGAAAGAAACTATATCCGATGAAGGTGTCCGTGCCCTGTTTCAAACTGCCCGTACCACGATCTGCACGCTCTGCCCTTCGTGCCCATATTCCCATTGTTTGGATTCGATATCAAAGCTCCAAGGACGCAACCACTATAAACCCTCCATTGATCCCAAAGGCATTGACAGTGCGAACACAGTCGTTATGCTTGGGCATGAGACCCGGCTGGTTTCCTTGAGTGCAAAGCGGCCCTGGACACTAATATCTCACGGCCCGGCTGATTAGAGGAGGTCTTGCTTTGCAGATTGTTGGAGGCAGCAGGCGAGGAGGGTACCGCATTGTGATCTCGGTGATGGTGATCGTGTACAGGCACGGGAATCAAGGGAGCAGATTAGTGGGAGGGACTGTGACAATAGCTCCTTCTCCCTCCCCGGCTTCTGGAATGCAGGGAACGGAATGGATGCATTCAGCGAGCACCATCAGTCCAAACAAGACGATACTCAATCGAGGGCCGAGGAGGTCAGATCCCCGGCGTGGATGTGAATTGCTTGGTGAATTGAGATAGCTCTGTTTTGGGGGGGTAGTGATTTCATCCCATCGTCGTGGGTTCGAATCCGGAAGAGTCCTTTTCTACCAGATTGTCAACGATGAATGCACTCTTTCACCATCTAGAAGCACCACGCTCGTCGAGAAGGATCTTGAAAAACTAACCTCAAAGGGTTTTTAAGGCTAGTTAAAGAGTCAAGACGGCTAATATACACCAAATACACACGATTTATATCCTCAATACTCCCGTTGACTCTCCCTCTCTCGGTTTTCTACGCCCACGCCAACCTGAGCTCATCTGCTACGGCGACGTCCTCTGCCAGACGGCTCCGAGCGGTCGTCCTCAGCCACCTGGTTCCGCCGGCAGATCACGCCCGTCCCGGGAGACAGATCAATCGTGCTGTGGATATCTATCTACAGTACTTGGGTCCTCTCCTCTTTCCTGTTCCCAATGTGGAGGAATCCAATAGCAAAGCCGGCAACCCGATTCCTTGCCGTGCCCGCAACGTAGTTCCATTCCTTTCTTTCCTTCGATTGGCTCCGAGTCTGCGACGCATATCCCCCCAAAACCAGAAGAAAGAAAAGAAAAAGGGGAAAAAAAGGGGAAAGATGAAAAGGTAAAAAGGGGCGACAGGGATGGAGGGATGGATGTGATTCCAAACCGGCGACGAGCGGCATCTTGCATCTCACCAATGTCCTGGCCAGGCTCGCCAGCTGCAAACCAAGCACATACACAGCTGACAGAAGTGCATCGTGTATAGTTCCTAGGTATCTAGGTTACTAGGTATCATTCACATCTCCAATGGATTGTGGCCATTGCTGCTGCTGCTGCTGCTGCTGCTGCTGATTAATTAAACTGACAGCTGTCTCGCCCGTACCGGCATTGTATTTCCGGTCTGTTCCTCCTCTCTTTCATACTCGGCACGTCCAGAACTACCTCGCACTAGGTAATGATGTACTGCTACGACCACCCCCTGGGCAGGCAAGCCCATGGCGGGACGGCTCGACCGTCTGGCCATTCTGGCGTCTGCCGTTCGTCTGCACCTATTCGGGCATTGATGCCGGTGTCCTTCTGATGCCGGAGGGAAAAAGAGGGTCGAAGGGATTCGTTGATTCGGCCGCCATGTGCATATATGCAGGTTCCCTCGGTGGACTCTGCAAGTGGAGTCTGATTCATGACGTGACAGACCATTGGCAAGTTACACATAAACTACAAAACATGGAACAATATGTCATGGAGGCTTCTCGAAGGGAACCCGGCCGGCGGGCTTCGGTCGGAAATATGTACTTGTTAAAGTACAACAAGTACGTATCTGGGTATTTGTACGTCCCATCTAGGCTATGGAGGTCGATTTGCCCTTCCCAGCGATACAGACAATCTTAGTCCTAGACATAGATACAACAGCGAGGAAAACAAAACACCCGTCACCTAAATCGACCTGAGCAAAGGCATTGCTTCTCGTCCCTCGGGCCTTTTCACAATGAGTGTCAGAATGCCTTCCCGGATCAAAGACGCGTCCCCGCTGGGACAGCCCTTGAAGTTCGAGTTCAGCGGAAAGACGGTCCCGAACAGATTCCTCAAGGCCGCCATGACCGAGCGCCTCTCGTCATGGGACCCGGTCCACAAGGAGAAACGGGGTGTTCCCTCCAAACAACTCATTCGCGTCTATCAACGATGGGGGGAGGGCGGTCTTGGGCTGATTTTGACTGGCAACATCATGATCGACTATCAGAGTTTAGAAGCCCGTACGTCTCCTTCGCCAGTGGCTTGCATCCAATAAAGCCCATGAGACTGACAGCATCTTCAGCCGGTAACCCGATCATCCCGCCTGCAGCTCCGTTTGAGGGAAGCCGCTTCGAAGCTTTCAAGGAGCTCGCAGGTCAAGCCAAAGTACACGGAAGCTTGGTCGTTGGCCAGGTCAGCCATCCAGGCCGCCAAGTCGACCAGAGGCTCGAGTCTGATCCAATCTCTGCGAGTGACGTCCAGTTGGAGGGGGAGTTGATGGGCATGAAATTTGCGAAACCTCATGCGGCCTCTCTTGAAGAAATCCAGGACATCATCAACCGTTTCACCCATGCTGCCGAGTATCTGGCCAAGGCTGGCTATGACGGTATCGAGCTTCGTAAGTCCCCGAAGGGTGCACGTACCTCGCCCGCAGCGCCTCAGCCTCCCCGAGAAACTTTGGGTGCTAACGATACGTCCAGATGGCGCTCATGGCTACCTCTTGGCACAATTTCTCAGTCAGACAACCAACAAGAGGACTGACCAATACGGTGGCTCTCTGCAAAATCGTGCTCGGCTCATCCTCGAGGTCGCTCAGTCCATTCGTCGCAAACTGCCCGCATCATCGGGTTTCGTCCTTGGGATTAAAATCAACTCGGTCGAATTCCAGGAGGGCGGATTCACCGCCGATGAAGCTAAAGACCTGTGCGTCCTGCTGGAGCAGAACGAGTTCGACTTTGTTGAGCTCTCGGGTGGTACGTACCAGTCCCTGGCTTTTACACATAAGAGAGAATCGACCAAGAAGCGGGAGGCCTTTTTCCTTGAATTTGCGGACAAGATCACTCCAGGCTTGAAGAAAACAAAGACGTATGTCACCGGCGGCTTCAAGACCTTGGATGGTATGGTGAACGCTCTGAAGACTGTGGATGGTGTCGGCCTTGGTCGACCGGTTTGCCAGGAGTTCCGGATCGCCAAGGACATGTTGGAAGGCAAGATATCGGGCGCCATCAAACAGAAGGTCGACCAAGATGACTTCGGTCTCACCAACGTCATTGCTGGGTCGCAGATAAGGCAGGTCGGTAAAGACCAACAGCCGATCGATATGTCGGTCCAGGAGAACGTTGATGCCTTCCTGAACGACATGGGCGCCTGGGCCCAAAAGATGAGTTCGGGTGACGCCAGCAACTATGGATACGTTGACATCGAGGCTGCCCAGGCAAGGCCGTATGGTACTTCTGCGGCATAATCGGCTGGCGGGTGTTGGGGGATGGGATCCATAGCCCGGATCAGCTGAATTATGTCGACAAACGGCTAGACTGATAGACTCGGGCGCACTGAATGTTAGACACATGGAAGACTGCGTTGGATCATATCTTTGGCTTCTCTTTCTCCCGTGCTCTTTCCTGCTCTTCTTCGTTCTCTATAACCAGAATACTTCCAGCCACCGCGATCCCAATGCAAGTCACCGCCATGAGACTTATCCCGCCAGTGTTGGGTCTGAACTTCCCTTCCTGTATCAGACGCAAAGTCGAGAAGTAGCGCAGCGTTCCGTGGCCGACGCACAAGCTCCCGCTCCCGACCAGGACGCCGGCCGCAAGTTTGGTCCTCGAGTCTTTTAGGTGAAACAATGTGGGCGACAGAGCCGCAAAGGCTTCCACCTTTTCCAGCGCGACACCCAGGGCAATAAATCCGAGGCCGGTTCGAGCCCAGGCGAGGAAGGTTCTCTCCGAGGCAAGGAGATCGCGAGCCACAGAGCCGGTGTTGGGGATGGGGTCTACCCTGATGAAACGCCTGAGTCGAGACAGCATCTGTGGCGGAGAGTATGAGACTCCTGGAATCTGTGTAGTATTGATTTCCTGAGGCCGGTCTTGCCTTGCTGGTACGAAAGCAAGGTCTGGAGCCCATTGAGTCGGAGAAAAGGTTGCGGAGTTTCTGGGAGGAAAGTGCGCCGAATGTGGGAGCAAATGTTCCCTGCCCACCACTACGTACCCAGATATCTATTGCCATTCTCCAAGGTAAGTAGGGTGTCCGACGATGCAAAACACAGTATTTCCTGCTAAGATCCAATGCAGGTCTTACACTGAATCATGGCGCTTTCGGGAGATCTTGTGGGTGATGACGACTACGTCACGAAGCTCCTCGTCGAGGATGCCAGGAGGAGTTCGATGCGGTATGCGTCGCAGGGCCTGTCTGCCCTGCTGCCCAAAAGACCTCCTGGTTCGGCCCCGAAGCCGAATACCCGCTTTCTGAAGACCCTCGTTCGCGAAGCCGATAGCCACAATGCTAAATTGAAAGAGAAGGAAGAATATGAGGCAAGGATCCGTCTGAAAAGGATCAGAGACGCTGAGCAAGGCTCCAAGAAAGTTGGGTGTGAGCGAGAAACCGAAGGACGTCATGACCAGGAGCGGAAGCGAAGGCGATTATGCGACGACAAGGGATCCCGGACCGACGAACGCGAAAGAGCCCGAGACTTAAGACGGAGCAGGAGCCCTGAGCAGCGGAGGGAGAGACACGACGGCCACAAGCGGGGACGGCGACGGCGGCACGAGACTGACGAGCCTGACGAGGATTCGAACCACAGAAGAACCCGACACCGCAACTCATCGCACCGGGCTAGATCTCGTTCACGGTCTAAGTCTAGAAGTCGGGAAAGGAAGGAGGAAGAGAGACATAAAAAGGACAGGCAACGGCATAGGCATGAGCGAAAGTCTCGCCGACATTCTCCACCCACTGATCCAGATCCTGAAGGACAAAAGGACGTGAAACATGGCACTCGCACGCCTTCGATATCCTCCACTTCGACCTCCTCTGACGATCCTCTCTCATACCTCATCGGCCCACGCCCAACACCGCCCGACAATCAATGTCCGCAGCGCCGTGGCCGTGGCTTCCGTCATGGGTCGTCGCACCAGTCCCGCTCGAACATCGACGCCCACTTCTCCCCGACATACGACCCCTCCACGCACGACGCAGGTGTCCTCGACTCCGATGACCTCAACCCAGAAGACGAAGGAGGCGACCAGGACGAATGGACCGCCGCCCTCTCCGCGCTTCGAGATCGGAGAGCGTGGCGCGCAAAGCAGGCTGAGCGGATGAAAGACGCGGGCTTTAGCGAGGAGGAGATCAAGCGGTGGGAGAAATCTGCTTCTTCTCGGACCCTTCTAGCCGGCAACGGGGACGGGGGCGAAGAAGAAGGCAACATCCGCGATGTGAGATGGCGCAAGAAGGGCGAAGAGAGGGAATGGGACGTCGGCAAGGAGAGAAACACCAGCCCCAGCCCCAGCGACCATGGCGTTGTCGACAAGGCCCACGAGACCGCCAGGGAGGGCGGCGGCGGCGCGAAGAACGAAAAAAAGACAATAGCGAGAGGTGTTCGTGTTGGTGCTGATTCCGCATGGCGCCGACCCCAGAACGCCTTCCTCAAGCAGTTCAAGAGCGCCCTCCGATGACCCCCCCCCCGCGCAAGCTGGACGCCGTCTGAAAGATGATGAATAGGTAAGGTATACTACGCAATGCCGAGATACAATACCATACACACCGCGGAATTACGGTCTCCCGGTCTCACTGTGTGTTGGCTACCTTGACGGGGACAGGCGACAGGTTGTTCTGTACTTCGGTCAATCGTTCAACACGCTCACGCGAGAGAGAGCCTTTTCTATCTGTCAAGTTGTGATCCTGGAACCGGACAAACTCGATCTTAGTACACTAAATTTATACCTATGGCATAGTATGCTTCAAGTCGCCCGGTTGAATCAGTGAATCCCACCCTAGCCTTAGCGTCGCCTTTGGGCCCTCCTAGGACTTTTCATACCCCGTGTCTTCATGCCTGTCGACCCTTTGTGGTCCTCCCATGAGGTACATCATAAGAAGCGGCCATGCGCATTTCTCCTTCATGCTCTGAATCGTCCATCCCATCGTAAATCAGGTTCAAACCCCCTGGCAGCCGGAAGTCATCCAAGAATAAAGGGAGCGCGGAACTCCCAGAAACCCCCAAATCCCATAATCTTCACAAACCCGCGCGTTTTGATGAAACAGTGCCTCCCAAACAGCTCTCAAGATCCAGACAAATGCCACTCGCAACGCGGTAAATTAATCCTTTGATTCTCTTGAGGGCCCTCACCCTCTTCCTCCACTCCCCTGACTATCCGGCCTCAATACCTCACCCTCAATGCTCTTCTCACTCCGGTTTCTCTTCCAGAATGCGAGCCCGAGCTTTAGCCGGCTCCTTCTCCTGCCCATCGTCTTGGTGCTGGCTTTTCTGTCTTTCGTGCTGGCGTCCTCCACGTCCCCATTACTCAAGATCGTTGTATGAATGTCATATTTGCTGCTTTCTCGGCTAGTTGCGCTGTTACTCCCCATGCTAAAACTAGGTCTCAGTACCGGACTTCCCGAGTGCATCGGTGCACTTACTGCCCGGTTGCGTATGGCTTGAAGACTGTTTCGGAGCCTTATCAATTCTTCGCTCTTTTCGGAGGTGTAGCTTGTCGCTTCAGTGCTCCCGCTAGGAGTTAAAATATGTCCTTCACCACCGCCGCCTCTCACTATAGCGCTCGACGTGTTATCGCTCTGGGCCGATCTCGCTGGTGGTGACGTGTCAATCGCTTCAACTTTAGGCTTTTTCGACTCCACGTCGCTTGCTGGTGCGCTTGCGCGTAGACCAGGATGGGAAGGATTGTACTGTTGTTGGGGATCGTACGTCCGCACTGGCTCATTCTTCTTTGAAGTCGCAAAATTGAATTTTTGCATTGCCTCTGCATCTGATACGTTGCTCTGTTCGAGAGCCTCCTGTGGAATGGCCTCTGTCCCTGCACGCATTGATACCGCATGGTCTCTTCTTTTGTCATTGAGGGGTTGTAAAGACTCTGCGCCGACGTCGTTTGCTGGTGATGCTAGCCTCGGGGTGCCGCTGGAGTTGGTGTCATGATTTCTCTCACCACCGCGGGAGCCATCTAGCGTAAGTTCCATTGGAATGTGTTCGCCGTTGATGAGCGCCGACCCCGACCGCTCCCGATCTGACACCTTGAAATTCTGGTTGGGCTTCGAGGCTGATCCACGACGTTGGGTTCCCTCAGCACCCGAAACGGCTATGCCTGCCGCAGCCGCTAATGAGGACCGCCTAGAGCTGTTCTGCGGAGTAGTGTTACCACTCTTCCGGCCACGTCCTGATTCAGAGTGATGCTTTTCTGGTGACCCGTCTCGACCCCGAAGCGGTGAAGCTGGCAGGTGCTTCTCCTTCCCATGCTCCTGGGTTCGGCCGACGGGACTTTGAGTTCTGGGGCTTATTGAACCGCCATCACCAGGCCCTGTTCCTTTCTTGATGAGCTGCAGTTTCTTTTCGTGCTCGGCTCTTGTAAACCAAACGCCTTTGTTCGTGAGGATCTCGTCGGCAGCAAACTGCATGGCCGGAATTATGTCGGCAACATTCGCAAAAAGCGGATGTGCAAAGATGGTCATAAAGCCAATTTGGCCATTAGCCAGCTTCAGCATGTTACCCAGTTCGGGTGGACCGCCGAAGAGTGTCGTCTCCATTCCAACGGCTTGCTCCATCTCGCCTTGATGGGCAAACTCCTTCTGTAGTAAATGTGTCCATTTCTCTGCCACCAACCACGGTCGCGCCTGTTTGCCGTAAGTAGATGAACGGATTAGAAGCAGGGTGATGCGACATACCACGTTGCTGATGTCAGCGCATTTAATCAACAATCCACAAGTCAAGGTCCGCGCCCAATCAATGTCTTTTGGGGACCATCCATCGGTCACTCCGCTTTCGTGAATCTTCTCCTGTAAGTTGCCCAGTTGTTGCATGTAGTCGGAATGGATACCCATATCGGTTGCGAGGATGGTGCTGATCATCAATTTCCGAAGAGCCTTGTCCTGGAATGCAATATGCCAGTGGCGTCGGAGAATCTGAGAGTAAGCCGCGCAATGAAAGGCCTCCAGAACGGACTGGTCGTTGTACAGTTGTGCAAGAGGCGCGTTTAATTTGACCAGAAACATGTTGTTGACCCCAGGGTGACCGACATCGTGTCCAATGGCCGAGACCAAGAGGGTCAGCGCTTCAAAGGGTCCTAGTAAGCGGGCAATTGGTGATTTCTTATCTGCAAAACGAGATGGTTGGGCGCCAGCGGGATACGGTGGCAGGGTGCCTATTTGGAGGAGGAAGTAGAATACCGATTGCAAGACGTCGACAGCGTGCCTGAAGTTGTGATAGAGGACGAAAGAATTGTATGCTATGCGACAGCCTTGCATGAAGTGAAGGAGGTCGCCTGTATCATCTGTAAGCGGGCTGCAACGACACCAATTGAAAGGTGCGACTTACGTTGATTCATGCTCCATTGCTCACACTCTTCCATCTGAAGGCAATGGTTGAGCATAAAATAGCCAGCGTAGACGAGTTCATCCTCTGTAAATTCGTGACCAGAAAAGTCCCAGCGGCCAACAGCTTCTGCGACAGCCTCTTTTCGCGACTCTAGCACATACAGGTCACGATGCTGGTAGTCTTCGATGATATTTTGCGGCTCACAGATTCCCTTGAGCAGCTTCTTCACCATGGCTTCTCGAAGATAAGCATAGGGTTTCTCCTCTTCCATACCGACCCATGATTGCTTGCGATTCCTTCGAGCCATGGCCATGAAGCCAGCCTGTTCCTTTTTCGCATTTTTGTATATTCGGTAAGCATGGACTGTCAGACCCATGATCCCAGCCTTGTCCAATGGGCTTTTTACCACGTCCAGTGCGCCAGCATCCAGACACTGTAACATTAATTGAGCATCGATAATATCGGACTTGTCTTGGATTGCGACGGGCTTGGACTCTGGGCCAAATGGTGCGCGGGACACCTCGGGTTGGGGGTCCGTGTCCACAGCCTGGTCCTGAGAATCATTCCGTTTGGGTTGGACAATTGCCACCGGTATTATCAACTTGACACCTTCATCAACTTGTAGATCGGACGCTATTCGAGACAAAAGTTGAAGACCGTATGATTCGTCGGATTCGGAGGAGAAGGTAATCTCCTTCCTTAGCAAGCTTGGGGACGGTAATGGCGAGTCGGACGACGGAAAGAATCTGGGTTTGGCCTTTGTGTGCTCATGCTTGGACTCGGAGCCAACGTCGATACAAGCGAGAATCGGGGTACAATCGAGCTTGACCTGGTCGTGAAGTTCGGACAACTTTGTGGAAAACGCCCTTCCAGAACTACATACATACACTGAATGTCTCATTGTCAGCCGGAGTGGGACCTCTGAAGAAGCAGCCATGCTTACCCTGATTGAAGACGGTCAGAAAGGCATTGACGTTGGTCTGTAGGTCGAGGGGCAGGTCCGAGAATTCCACCTGCGAACCTGCTCTTGCGGGAGTGGTAGGAGACAGCCCCTCTCTAGAAATCCATCTTTCTGTGTTGAATCTTTCGTCAATGTATATCACTCGACAGGCGGAGGGGTCCATGGCGTCAGCGATGGCTCGTATGGAAAAGAGGAGAGACGGTCGCGTCGAGGGGCCTTACGGGCCCATAATGCGATCAAAGGGCCACCGGGACGATTTGTGAGACCTCGATTTTGCTGGTATGAGACTGGACAAATTTACAATTGATCTGACAGAGAAGTTGACGAACGAGATGCGTCTATTGCAGGCCCATTGCGCAAGAAGACGGCTGTCCTCGAACGAGCGGGCAACTGCTTGGCTCTTTCACTTTTGGTGTACGGAAAGACCTGGACGGGCTCTGGCTCGAGAGCTCGACGAGATCGCTTGGGCCAAAATGAGACGAGTTGAACACGCTCCGGTTGCGCCAGTTCGATACCGTCGAGACTCGGGGACTGTGGGTGGAGGATGGTGAGGCAAGGTGCGAGTGGGTGGCAGGTCGCAGCTGTCAAGTTTTTCGAGTCTTCGGGTGGTCGCAGACGCCGCCGGGGAAGGTGACTGAAGCTGCAGACAGGCGGAACACAGACAGCTCGCCGGAGAGACGATGGAAGTGACCTGGCAATGATCCGATCGCAGAATTCAACCAGGGACGAGCAAGAGTGATATTGAGCAGGCAGTAGGAGAGAAGATGGAGCTTGGTCGGCCGCAGGAGGTCAGGGTAAGTGGTAGTAGTGATAGTGGTAGTGGTAGTGGTAAGTAACTGCGAGTGGCCTCGCTGGGGGTGACAGAGGGTGAAATCGAAAGGCCGAGCCCTCAGAAGTTTAGTCGGTTTAGGGCGAACCCCCCAAAGGATTAGCTGGGCTAGTTGGGCCAGTGGCACTAGGCACAAAGCACAATTGGGTCTGGCAATGGGGGTGGATCTGGGATGGAAGGAAAAAGGAAGCGCAAGGGAAGCCGAAGAGAAGCGCGAGCGAAGGTGCAATCGAAGTGCGGAGCATGCCAATGCAGTGAAGGCAGGCCAATGACGGCCACTGAGGGCCGGTCAAGGGGGGGCTACCTAAGGGCTGGGAGGGGCTATCTAAGGGCCAATGGGCATGCGGGCGGCAGTCAAACGGCAAGCCCTTCTAACTCGAGTTAGGGGTCCCAAGGGTCCTCCATGCTCACATTATCCTCATGCCTCATGCTCACCATTTGCTCACCCGCCTCGCCGCTCACCAACCCTCCCTCGAAAGGGCCAAGGCCCACTGCCCGCCATTTCCCTTGGTCACCATCATCACTGCAGCTGGTGGCAGTACTCCATTCCCAGCAATCAGTACCACCTGCGGGCGCCCTGTGGATGCCCAGTGGATGCCCTACACAAGCACAATTACTCCTCCCATCACCACCATATGCTGCCTGCTATGTCAGCCTACGTGGTATGCGGTGTGAACAGGAAAGGCATCCTCTTTCTTCACGTCGCAGTCATCATCTATCTTCTTGAGCTTACCCTTCCCGAGCTGGACCAATCTCTGTTTTAGGACCGATGGACAACCCTTGCCCTTTCTTCATCCAGGCACACGGGAAGCTGTTTTGCCTCCTCCTCCTCCGCCCGCCACCTCGGCCTGCTCAGGCTTCTATCAGCCTTCTAGAAGCCGCCCATCATTTGTCGCACCACAATCATCATTCTCCAGGAAAGCAAAATGGCAGATGATCAATGTTTTACTTTCTTGGCCTCCATCACTGCGTCAGCCCTCCTCATCCATGTACACGTCACTGGGAGCAAAGAGGACGAAAGACGCATGGGTAGTGGATACTCATTCACATCCTCTCCTACGCCTTTCATGGCGCAGCTGACTATGAAATCAAGGGGAACAGTGCCTCCATACGAGGGCTGCTCCTGCTGGAGCCTGCTCCCGGACCTGTTTGTTTGGTCACTTCATCCGGACCTGGCCTCTGTCGATCATCCACTTGACGTTTGTTGATCACTGTAGCGGGGTCGGCCTCTCTGGCCCTTCGGGCCCTTTTACAATATGCTCTCGCTCTGTCTCAGGACTTCTGCATGTCGATCCAGCCCGGTTCACCTCCTCTGATGATGATTCCTTCCAGATTGACATATTTCTCCACATTTGGTGCCGTTGCTTAGACGCTTTTGTCATTCACTTCATCCACCAGTCCCAGCGTATTATCGTCATTGTTTTGTTGTACAACCCCAGCCCCATGTTATGCAACTCCAAATGTCAGTCCTTCACCGGTACCTGGGTAGCCTCCCCGGTCCGCTATCCAGGAAGACTGCGTGAATCGTGCACAATCGTGGCACAGTCGGCGACTGAAACCTCGTCGAGTTCGAGCTCTCACAAAGCTTTCCTCAGCGGTCGAGGCTAGCGGCCTGTTTGAATCGCTTAGCCAGATTTTCTGATGGGCTGCCAGGGTCGAAAGATTCATCCGCCTGCAAACGCCACGGACGCTTCAAGGGCCGCTCACCATATGTTTCGAGTATCGCCAACAGCGTCCCCCATCCTGGTGATTCGGTCAAATGGATTGCGTCCACCTGATCACGCGTGGTCGCCACCCGACATAAAATCTGTTCTTCGTCCTGCAATCATGGTCAATGGAATGCCGCGGCCCGCAGAGGGTACCAACTTACCTTGCTGAAAACGCCCATGCCGTGCAGAAAGCACAACAGATGGAAATCAGAAACTGCGTCTACTGACTGTGACGAGCGCAATTGCTTGGCCACATCCGAGGGATCCTGACCTTCTGCCACAGCTTCCCGATTGGCAACAGGGAACTTGCTATTCTTGAAGAGAGGGTTGGGTTTGATTGGCATTCCCGCCGTCAAAGATACCAGCAAATATTCCACAGGAAAGGCGGGCTTGGCGTTCTCTTGCACATTCGCACCGTATTCATTGATCCGACGGTAGAAGACTTCAGGTATATATCGGGTTCTGCTATTCGGCCCATGGTCATCTTCCGATTGCACCAACATCACCGAGGGATCTGCTGACGGCTCCACAATATCTGCACGGACCATCTCGACAGCAGCATTCGAAGCCTGGTAAGCTCGGATTGTGATGCTCTCGTCCTCATCACCAGTAACGACGCAGGTCACAAAATTTGAGCCGAATCGACCAGTCTCGCTCCACTTCGAAGGCTTCGGATATTGAGCTTGGAGCCGTGCAGCGAATGCGATCTCAAGAGATGAAAGGAAATACGAGTCGATGTGTCGCTTGCAAACTGCTTGGCCCTCTCCTTCCTCTGGGACCAGTAGGTCGGTGAAAATGACTCCTACCCGCTCAAGTCCGCAAAGACGGGCAACCTCGTCAACATCTTTTTCATTGGGCCATTCCAGTAGTGTGAGTCCATCGACTTCGCACATTTGCGGGGGCTCATATATGGCTTCAACCACAGCCTTCACACCCAGGGGTACTTCTGTGTACTCTTCGTATCGGCCATACAGAAATCCTAGCCGCTGACTGCCGGACTTTCTCCAGAAATCAATTAGCTTATCCACCATCTCTGCAGTGGCAAATTCAACGTGATCCACCATGCGGAATTCTTGCGGTTGTAATGTGATGGCGCTCGGTTGGCATTTCGTACAGATCCCTTCGGGCCACGGAGGATGACCGGAAGGGCAGTCCTTCTTGACTCGGTAGTAGGGTTCGCTAAGTGGTGGCATGTAAGAGCTCTTCAATTCAGGCTTGTTGGTAGCGGAATTGATTTTGCGCAGATAGCTGTGGAAGGACAGATGTTTTATTTTCTTCTCGTCAAGATATTTCTTGTCGTAGGGCTCGAGAGGTTGACAATAATCGCACATGCCTTTGGGCCCATGCCGACACATTTTGAGATCTCTCGGTCTTGAAATCTTGCCATCCAGCTTGTCTAACCTGTCGTCCAACGCGGATTGTTTTACGACTTCCCACGGATTTTTCACCAATGTTGGAGAGGTAACCGTCGGCGCAGTCACGGGAGCGGTAGCTTCTGGCAGGGCGACCGTGCCGTTCAACCGTCGAGGGGCGGAGGGGCCGTCGCCATTCGTGTGGCCGTTGGACATGGTCTCGAGTTGCGTGAATCCGATGTACAGTTTGTCTCCATGTTTAAGTCCAACCTGGCGCAGTTCCACGCCCGGCAGCTCGACGAGACGCCTCTCTCTGTCCGGGGCCGGTTTCGAGCTGACGGGTTTGTTGCTTAGTACTATCGACGAGGCATCGGTGTTTGGAGGTAGGTTGTCAAGGATCTGGACACATCGGTATCAGTTCAAACTCAGCTGTTCCCCTCCTATGCGGGGGACCGGATTGTACCTGGGAGGTTAGGGACGAGAACTGCTGGTCAGGCTCGACGTTCAGGCGAAACTGGCCCCATTTTGATTCAAATCGTAGTAACATGGTGAATGAAGCGGGGGAAGGAGGCACGGACGGGGAATGGGAAGAACGAGTGCGCACCCCCCAAAGCAGGTATAAAATTGAGGAGATGACCACGTCCTTGTTGAAGCTGGAGAGAAGGACAAAAGAGATTCGGGTGTCAGTGAGGGGGGGTTGGCGGCGGAGGTGAAGGAGAAGAACAGCCAAGAAAGCAAACGCAGCGGTTTGAAGTGACCTCGAGAGTTTCTGTACCTGATGGTAGCGAGGCTCTAGATGGCAAACGTGATGGTTGGTTCGGTCCTCATGCGAGGATGATCGCAGAACTTCTCCGAAAGCCCTTGCGGCTAGGCTCCAATTCTTACGTCATGCAGGGCAATGGCCGAGTGGCCCACTGCTTGTATTAGATCTCTGCTTTATGCTTGTCAAGCTTGCATCTACATGCTTGTTTACCCGATATATCCCTGCTTCAGAGGAGTTGGTACCGAGTAGGCTGTCCACGGGGAATGAATCCTACGGCCGTTCCACTCTCTTGCGCTTCGATTGTGTCAAGTGCATGAAGATCCATGTCCAAGAGAAACCGCTAGATGCTCCGAAATTGCTCAAGAATCAAAAACCCAAGCCCTGCTTGTTGCCTATCATGTGCTAGGAAGTCGAAACAATTTCATCTCATATGTGACCCCCAAGATCGCCCTCATCATTCCGCATATCAACCATCCTAACTCGTCGCTTCGTGCAAATATAAACAAAGGATACACAAACTCATCATGGACCCTTGTACAATTGCCCCAGTCGCTTTTCCAAAATCTTTCGTCCTTCAGCTGACCTCCAGACCTCCTCTGGCGGTGCTCCTTTCACGATATCCCAGGCGACCAACTTGTCTGTCACTTTTGTCAAATCTTGTTGCTTTCGTTCCCAGTCCTTGTCCTTTCTCAAATGGACGCCAGAAGTGATGACAACAAGAGGGACGCTAGGATCTTGAATATTGCGAGCGCTGACAACCTCGTTCTTGGTCAATGAGTCGGCAACCAGGTTTTCTTGCAGCTTGTTCTTGATGAACTTGCCACCCTGATAGGAAGATTTGCCGAACACTCGGTCTTCCTTGGTACGGCCCTTGAACAAAGCTCCAGCCAAGCGATCGAGACCGAGCGGAGAGATGATCCCACGACCCCACAAGATGAATCCACGACCAGGGGCGCCAACTTTGTAGAGCAGGTCTTCATGTAGACCATCGATAAACATCATGCCCCTGATATCACGAGGATGCCTAGCAGAAAAGACTCTGCTGTAGACGCTGCCAATGCCAGCAGACACCAGAATCCACGGGCCTTCCTCACCTGCAATTGCCAGGGCCTCAGAGATCGCATCCGCCGACATGCCAGCCGAGTGTGGAGACGGCGCATTGTCGGACCACGCGATCCCAGGTCGATCCCAGTAGCAGTATCGATCAATGGTGCCATTCATCCATGCATCGGAAACCCACCCTTCGAAGCTGTCTTCCACAGGCATATATCCTCCCTCAAGCAGGACTGTGGACTTTGGCTTGCCGTCTGCGTCCAAGGTTCGATTGCCGACGCATGCAAAGTGAACAGCGTATTTGTCCCCATCCACCAAGTATCGCTGGCCAGGAGCCGGGAGAGTAGCGTCCCTCGAGCGCAATACCAGGACAGCGGTAAGCAAGATGACAACGATCACGTAAATGACCATGAGGACGGTTGCGGTAAAGACAGCACACCATTCTCTGAGAGAGCGGCGCGTCTCTTGGCGGCCAGTAAGGCGTACTTCCTCTTCCGCTTTCCCCCACTGGACCGTTCTGTTCGTTATGACATTGTAGAGGCCGATCAAGGCGGCCCATATTACTGATGCAATCCCGATCCAGCCTTCTTCAAGTCTGATTCGCGACACCGCGAGGATAATGATCATGTCGATCAACAGGATGACGGATACTGCCATACTCAGAACGCTCATGGCCGTGGACGGAGTGGCAAAGAAGAGCAAGGCCGTCAGAATGTTGGCGATGGTGAGGGTGGTCCAGGCCACATCGAAGAAGCCTGAACCTCTCGAATTGAAATGTGGAGGACTGACGAAGATGGAGATGAACAGCAAGGTCCACCACAAGCAGGTAATCACGAGGAAGCAGACTTCGAGCCATCGCAAAGCTCTCACTGTGAGGAGATTGTAAGGCGACACCTAATGAGCAATTAGCTTGCTGGCGGATTGGCCTTGATCACGACCTACAGCAGGGTCATCGGGGCTGAGAAAGCTGACGCCTCGATCACGGCGAGGTAACAGCCGTGTTCGTTCATCGGCCTCTTCTGAAGGTCTGGTCGCTTGAGGATGGGACGCGGTGGCTGTGTCGCTGTCTTCATCCTCCTCCTGAGGGGCGTGACCGTTATCCTTCTTGTTGCTTCCCCAGAGAGAGACCATGGCGGCCAGTCAAGATCAATCTGAGCTACAGGGGGGGACTGGCAAGGCTCTAGGTTCCGATGACGAGGCGCGGGGATTGTGTGAGTGTCGTTAGCGATTCTTCCATCAGATCTCAGAGAAAATACGTATTTGGGCCGACGACGGGAAGAGAACAACAGCGGGAGAAAAGAAAAGGAAGAGCTGAGCTTGTAGTTTGAAAGAGCGTGTTGGTGGTGTCGCCTGCGAAGGGGAATCTCACGACGTCATGGAAACCTCCCAAAGCTCAACCACGGGATTCGCTTCCATGAGATCGTCAATGAATCATGGTCTTGGTCCCTCGGTTCACAGCCAATTGCGGCAAGCGATTCATCAAGTGGGAAAGTTAAGCCATGGATCTGGCCATGCGAAAGCCACGGCATTGGAGGAGGGACGCGGTTTGCAGGACTGAGCAGAGATGAAAGCAGCCAGAAGCAAGATGCCAGAAGCCAGAAGTGCATGTGTCAATGCTGCTTTGGAGAAAATCAAATCAAAAGACAAACATATCCCAACATGCCCCTGCCAGGCCCCAGCCCGGCCCCTGCATAAGGGCCACCATCTCCTCTGTCAGACTGCTCTACCAACATCTCCCCTCTCCCCTCCACGACTGCGCCGGTCCAACGGCTGTGGTTCCCTTGCCACGCCACCAGGCAAACCCATTACCACACGCACAATACCCCAGTACCCGGTACATCACAAGACACCGCCACACACCCACCCACAGCTGGCCCATGCTGCCCATGGCACCCGAGTACAGAACCACTCGCACCACCTGCATGAGCCACACCCCTCATTCGTCTCATCCATCATCCCTCGAGTCCTTGAATCGAATCGACAGCCTTGTTTCATCCCCGACTCTCGACATTCCCTGTGATGAGTGATCTTCAAAAGTCCTTTGCCCGAGCCCGTTTGTCGCATCTCCCTCCAGAGCCTCCCACTCTTGTAGACGGGCAAGATGAAGAAGGCGACGATTTGGCCGCTTTGAGATCGGGCTCTCCAACTGACTCTTCTTCCTCGGCCTCGTCAACTTCCTCGACCGGCACCATCGTCCCCTCGCCCAGTCGGAAGCTGTTTGAGAAACCTAGAAGGTAAAATGGAATTCTCGTTCCCTGCCCAGATCAAAATGGCCGCCTACTGACATGCCCAGTTCTGCTATCAAATCCCGGACGGCCCCCCTTCCGTGGGATGATTTCTTTGCCCAAGACCTCGCTTTCGACCAAACGACACCGTCAGAGACCATCCACCATCACGTCTATCTGACCCCTCCCTCCGCTTCTGGTCCGCTCGTCGTCACCCATCATGGAGCTGGATCATCAGGCTTGTCATTTGCTGCCTTCACGATGGAGTTGCTGAAACTCCTTCCAAACGCTGGTGTTCTCTCATTAGACGCGCGAGGCCATGGTTTGACGAGAACCACAACTTCGTCCGGTAGCTCCCCGCCTTCTCAAGACCTCAGCTTAACAACTCTAGCCGAGGATGTGGCCTTTGTCGTCAATGCTGTCAAAGCATACATGAAGTGGACAACCCTACCAGATATCGTTTTAATTGGACACAGTCTCGGAGGCGCCGTCGTGACCGAAGTGGCCCACGAGAAACTTCTCGGCAACGCCTTACTAGCATACGGCGTCCTCGACGTGGTTGAAGGCTCAGCTATGGACGCTCTAAAAAGCATGGACACCTATCTCTCCACAAGGCCTAAATCCTTCGCTTCACTTGCTTCGGGCATTGAGTGGCACACCAAATCTAGAACTATCCGGAACACTACCTCCGCTCGAGTTTCGGTACCCTCACTGCTTCAAGAATCTAAAACAACCAAAGACACATGGCTCTGGCGAACCGATTTAGCTGCCACCAAACCATTCTGGGAAGACTGGTTCGTTGGCTTGTCCAAGAAATTTCTTGAGTCCCGTGGAGGCAAATTACTCCTGCTGGCTGGGACAGACCGTCTTGACAAGGAACTCACCATTGGCCAGATGCAAGGTAGGCCAAGCTGGGAGTCATCTAACACTCTCTTCTTCTTCCTCATTGACGCCCCGGCTGACATAGTACATAGGAAAATACCAACTGCAAGTGTTTCCCGAGGCCGGTCATTTTATTCAAGAAGATCAGCCTGCCAAAACCGCGCAGATTGTGGCCGACTTTTACAAAAGGAATGATCGTACCGGACTGGTCCTGCCTCCCAAGGTAGATGACCTGATCAAGCAAGGAAAATTGAAACCTGCTGGCTCGAAATGAGTATGCTGCTGCCGATCACAGGGGAATCGAGACCAAGTCCGATAGCATACTATACCACCTCGATATAGACTCGTACGAGGATCTGAATCACCACGGCCGAGATAGATGTCACAGAACGAAGTTGACGGTCCCAGAGAATGGAGTAACATGAGGCCGGTTGACCACCGCTCTGGAACAAGACGCAGCATAAACCCGAAGCCCGATCAAGATGAAGAATTTGTGCATTCCATCAAGGCCCATAGTTTGTCTTCGCTACGTGGGAGGCAGGAAGACAAGAAGACTAACGAGTGTCCGGCTCTCTGGATGGACAGGCCAATTCTCCATCCGTCATCTCTACCTCTTACCCTTTCTCGGTCCTCCATTTTTCTTCTTCGCATTCTTCATCATCTCCTTTGCCGCCCGTTCACTGCCCTTCTGTTTCTTCCACAATTTCCCCTCCTTTCTCTCCCGCGCATTGTCCAAGCGCTTCTTATCCTTGTTGCTCATTTTTTTCTTCTGTGTCTTCACTTTCACAACGCCCACCCCGCCCGGCCCATTCAACTCCATCCGCCCTTTATTCTTGGCATCGCGCTTCTCTTTCTCGCTCTCAAACCAGGTCCTCTTCGGCCGCGCCATGATTTCAGACTCGTGCTTGATGAGATTCTCTCCACGGGTGATTTCGGCCTCGGTGGCGGCGAGTTGCTTTTCTTCTTTCTCTTCTCTCAGAACCTCTGCGATCTCCGAATCTAGATCCTCGAGCCGCCGGTGCATGGCGTTGACTTCTTCGACGTCCATTACTCGGGATACGACCTTCGCACCTTGTTGTTTTGCGCTTTTGACTGCGGCCTTGACCACTTTCCGATCAGGTTCTGCAGCGATGGTGCATGCACGTCCAGAACGGCCTGCTCGTGCCGTACGACCCACACGATGTAGATAGATCTCATGCGTCTGTGGGGCTTCGTAGTTGACGACTGTCAAAACGTTTTTGATATCGAGACCTCGACTGGCAAGATCTGTGGCGAGGAGGTGCGTTGTCTTCCCGTCTCGAAAGGAATTGACTGCGGTGATGCGTTGTTCCTGCGTCATGCTTCCATGCAGTTCGCCAGCCCGAAGGCCCAGTAAAGCGAACACGACGCGGACACGATGGGCTTCCTTCTTCTGTCGAAAGAAGATGATAGTGCGCTTGGTGAAGAAATTCTGGCACAGCACGCATAAAGTTGCGAGACGCATGCCCTCTCGCCCTTGGCGGAGACGGACGAATTCCTGAACGAGACCTGCCGTCGTGGATTTCTTTACGTCGACGGACAATCGCACGGGGCGATTCATGCCTACCCTCACCAACTTGTCCACGCTGTCGGTCATGGTAGCGGAGAAGAGCATCGTCTGTCTGTCCTTCGGGATGGTCCTTAGGATCTCGTCCAGCTCGTCAGCGAACCCAGTTTCGAGCATCCGGTCTGCTTCATCCAGCACCAAGATTTCAATATTCTCGATGGCAAAGCTGGCGGAGTTGCGCATGTGGTCGATAAACCTACCGGGCGTGGCGATCACCACATCGGGCCGTTTTTTCAGGATGGTTTCCTGTTCTCGCAAGGAGAAGCCACCTACCACCTGTGCGAAGGTGATATCCGTGAATCGAGCTAGCGCGGTGGCGACGCTGTAGCATTGAACGGCGAGCTCACGAGTCGGCAGAAGTATGACCACTCGTGTCATGGGGACTTTTGTGGGCCGGTATAGGAGGCGTTCGAGGATGGGGAGAAGGAAGGCTGCAGTCTTACCGGAGCCGGTCACGGCGGATCCAACCACATCTAAGCCTTGTAGGGCGATCGGGATGGCGCGCACTTGGATTGGTGTCGGGGTGGTGAATGACAGGGCGTTCAGTCCCCGTAAGATGGGCCGTGAGAGGGAGAATTGTAGGAAGGAGGATGCGGATTTTATGTTGGGTTGTGTCGCTTTGTCCTCAGGAGCGAAGAATGCCGCGCGTTTAGCCATCTCTTCTGGATCTTCCGAGACAGAGGTTTGCGATTCAGCATCTGACTGATCAGAAGCTAGGTCGTCGGGATGAGCTGTCGGAGATGCCATCGAGCCGCTGTCGGAAGCACTGGCGTCGTCACTCTCGTCGTCGTCTTGTTCTTCGTCCGCCAGAGATTCTCCATTTCCCTCATCCCCGGATTCCGCGTCCGCACCGAAGGTATCCGGCGCAAGAAGTTCGTCGTCTTCGAAGTCTGGGATCTCGACATTGTCCTCGTCCTCGTCATCATCCACATTTGATTCTACCCCCTCCTCCTTTTGCTTCTCGGACCCGGTGGCTTTGGCCTTCTTCTCTGCCCGACGAGCAATGATGGCGTCAATGTCGACGCCTCTCTTCCTTTGCTCTCGATTCTTGGTGATTGAGTTATCCTGGCCGCCCCATCCGTCGAATTCTTCGAGGTCTTCTTTGACGTGGTCTGGCCCAAAGTCGAACTCGAAATCAGGATTGAAGGCACCCTCTCGGACACCCTGTTCTCCACCGTTTTCCGAGTCGTCGTCCTCTGATACGATGGGATCGTCCTCTTGACCTTTCCCCCGGTGGATCTTCTTCTGTTTCTTGCTCCTTGAGGCATTATTCTTATTCTTTTCTTCCCGTTTTCGCTTCGTGCCGTTGCGGAAGAGCTCTACCGTTTCGGCGTCTTCGGTTTCGGGGTCGCTGACGGGAAGGTCGTCATTGTCAGAGATCGTGAGGACGAATTCGTCCTCCTCTACGGCGCGGGTCATGGCAGATAGGTCTGGAGACCGTCAGATGCACATCTCTAAGATTGTGAATTGATTGATCAGTGTGCAACTTTCTTTTTTGGTTTGACCGGCAGAATTTCCAAAGGCGGTAAGACCACCAGGACCAGCCGCCAAGCCGAATTGAAAAAATAAGTGGCACACTAAAAGTCCCTTGGCTTTCAGATCAGAGGTGGCCTTCGTTGGTGTTGAGCATTCCGTATACTTACTATGGAAATAGTGGCCCTCTGTCACTCATCCTATAACGTCAACTATATTTCGATCTAGCGGTCACCTTGAAGTTATTAAGCACTCTTGCAGTACCGAGTATATATTCTGTGACCCACTGTGCCACTTCTTTTTGAATCCCTCTCGTTGTCTATAAAATCTTTAAGTTCGAAATCTTAAACCTTTCTTTTAAGGCTTCATGACGTCTTTTTGTACCGAAGATTGTCAAAGACTATCCGTCAAGGCCGTGCAGCCCGTCTTGCTGTAGTACATAACTTTCTACTGTAGAAATGGCAGTTGGTTAGCCCCGCACACGCACCATAAGGTCGCTACTCTATATGCTCACCTTGCGGATTCTACTCTGCAGACCAGTCTCTCGAAAATTGCATATCCTTTGAATTGTCTTCACCTAGAAGTTTCAAGTTAAAGGGCTCAGTTGAATAGCACAACGCCTTGGCGGCGTCTGTCCAAGTCCTTTGGGGCGTTGCAACTCTAGGCTTGATGAGTGCTGAAGCCCCTCAGTTCAAGGTCTTCGTAAGGATGACAGGATCTCCGGCTGCAAACTCCTTTGATCTTGATGAGCGGGCCCCTGACTAGAGGTGAGCAGGTTCCATATCACGATTTCATGTGCAAATGAGCCTCTGCATGCCTCAAACTATGGAGAAACCTTCAGGAGAGTTTCATTAACATTTCTCCCTTCCCCACCGCATGTGCGTTTGGAACTCGACGCCGTGATAGACATGGCACGGTGGAAAAAGAGCGAGAGATGAGAGATGAAATGACCAATATTGTTCTGCATTCGAGAGCCTATTGAACACATTTCTCTCTGTGCAAACAGCCGTCAATCTGCTGGTTTTGCATTACAAGCACTCGGGGTCTGAGTATCCCAAGCGGTTGCGACACGCGTCCGAGTACCTGATGGCAGTGCTGATATCACAGACGTCTGATGTATCAGCCCACATTGACCCGAAACATGACGAAAGTAAAGCTCTGATGGAGTCGACAGTAAGTCCCATATATATATACAAGCATTATTCAGCCCACAAGTACTCGGTACTCGTGCGTTGACGTGGACGTGGACGGTTGCCTCCGGAAGTCTGTTTGAAGGGAATGCTGTCGTGCAACGGGCCCCAGGGATCAAGGGTTGGATTTCTGGAAAGGTGGCTTGCAGTAGCTCCGCGAGGACACCCCTGTTCACGAAGACAGCCATTGTCACCGCTTCTTTGACGCATCGAGAAGTTGCATCAACCGTGGGCATTTTGGGTGCAGTTTGCCTCAAAATCGCTCCGACATGTCTACCCGGGGGCCCCTTAGGGTCGAGCTTCGGGATTGTCGTCTGCACAACGAGCGCAGATCACCAGCTGATGGTCGATGTTCGCTAAGGCTGGATCTTCATGTCTAGAACATGTCCTCGAAAAGGGCAGGCCTAGAAAGCCTGTTTGGAGGCTCGGAGAGCCAGTGGAGCCAACTTGATGCGGGCCTAGCTGAGGTGATCGAAAGGATTCGCGGATTCACGGTCCCTGTCTCGCTCGAACACGCATGGGGGGAGAGTGAAGGGGAAAAATGGCTCAGCAAGCCACTTTCACACACCACAGGTATTGCGCTTCGACAGCTCGTCTCGTTTGCTCCGTCTGAGCGCATTGTGCTGCGGGTTGGCTGGCGGAGATGGCCCACGAATCCAAGACAGAGAAGTGATGACAGGATCTTTTGGATTTCCGGCCACTTGCTCGCTAGATTTTCGAATGCGTCCTCGTTGCACGATATCGACAAATACAGGGCAAGTCAGCGCCACAAAGAGACTGGAGGTCCCCACTCCCACTGACGGGCTACCGGGTAAAGAAAGGGTCGAAGCCAGCTTGCCAGGTGGATATGTCGATAGGGTCGAACCTCCAGGGCTGTCCCATGTCACCGGCGTGGCATGGCATGGCTGGTGGAACCAGGGGGGTCTTTCTTTCTGTTAAGACTCAAGAGGACGACAGGAAGATGAGGCCCTCTTCCTCTTCGAGTTCTCGAGTCTCGACGCCCACCCCACCCCTCTTGTGTGCTTCGCGACGCTGAGGGATTCGAAGTCCTTGTCCAGCCCACGCGTGCTCGGCCCCTCCATTGCACAAAGCCCAAAGACAACATCAGCCTACCCCAACTCCAGTAGGTTATCGTGGGTTATCCCTCAAACGTTATCTGCCAAACCATCCCACTCTCTGACGGCCGGCCCTAGCGTCCTCGATCATCGTAAGACCCAGAACCTGTCCCAATTCTTTCTCTCTGTCGGATCGGGTACCTAGCAGTACAAATCACGGGCAACACACATGCCACGGCCCTTTTAGTCAAGCTCGCGTCTGCTGGTTGAACCTTGATCAGGTATCCCGAGTGGATCGCTTGTGGACACACACCGCCTAGAAGGAAAAAGGTAGAAACGAAACAGTCACCAACGACCTACCTACAGCATACTGGGCTCCTGGGCTACTGGGGCTGTGGTCCTCTGGCCCTAACCGTAGCAGCCAAAGCGAGGTTTTTGTCGGCTGCAATCACGTCAGTTCCGGTCGCGCAAGCTGACTGCTCTTTTGTAACATAACACCACATGCAACCGACTGCCAGGCCTGTCACTAAGCTTGCCTGTTTGTTGAACCCATCTGCTTGTTCCCTACTTGCTAGTGCAGGATACGCTCGGAGGCCACAGGCGACTGTGGAATAGCGCCGCAGGCTACACTTGGATTCCCACCAGATCCCTCCCGAAGGGTGGACGGCCCTTGCATGCGCAACTGATTCGTCCTGCGCCCTCGTTCTTGTGCCACGGCTCTTTGTTGTCATCTTTTTTTCTCGCTCGTACCCATATTTATCCTATCATCCCGCCTTCCCTCTGACTGCCCTTCTTCGCAGCATGACCCTTTCCGCAGACAGTGACTGCAGTCATGGCACCGCGCGACCAGAGCCCAATGCCACCGCCTCCAGTATGTCGTGCCCCGCGCCTCCCAAAGATGAAGACGAGGGGGGAGACCAAATATTTTGGCTCAGCCTCGCTAACCCTGGGTAGCCTCCCAACTCGCCCGTTCTGAAGCGTTGTCGGAACTGAAAGCTCGAATCAAGGCGGGCTTGAAGACCTATCCCGATTTTCCAAAGGTAAGAAAGGAAATCTTTTTTTGTTTATATCACATCTTGGCCGCCCAGAAGCTGTTGCTAAGTGGGTTGCTGGTGAAGAAAGGCATCCTCTTCGAAGACATCCTCCCACTATTCGCCTCGCACTCTCTTCATCTGGACTTGATTCGAGCATTCGAGCTCCAGATCGCCGAATCGCTCGGCCCACACAATATTCCTGATGTGATTGTCGGTCTTGACGCGAGGGGCTTCCTCTTTGGACCGACATTAGCCTTACGATTTGGAGCCGGCTTTGTTCCTGTCAGAAAGGCAGGCAAACTCCCTGGCAAGATCGAAACAGCCGATTTTCAGAAGGAATATGGCACCGACACCTTTGCCATGCAGACATCCGCTATTCAACCTGGTCAGAAAGTCCTTGTGGTCGATGACTTGATCGCCACGGGCGGTTCGGCAGCGGCTGCAGGGACACTGGTCGAGAAATGCGGAGGGCAACTGGTCGGATTCGTCTTCATCATCGAACTCACTTTCCTCAACGGTCGAGACAAGCTCAATGCTCCAGTTTTCACGCTCCTCGAGAGTCAAGAAGAATGATCAGCCCCGCGCATCCGCTGGTTCACGATCAAAGAATGTCACACCTCGACATCAAGGCTTCGGCCCAGTCGACAAACGAATTCTGACGAACCACTCCGGACTGATATCAACTACCAACCCAAAGTTCTATGTGTGTTGCCGACGTCCCGAGACTCGGCGGTGAACAATATGTTAAATTTGAACCGGTTCTCGTCACTCTGCACCCCAGCGAGAGCCATAGTCCTTACATTTTCGGCGTTTTTGTTGAAAGATTCAGTGTACGTTGCAGATGAAGATGGGATGAAAAATGGTTCCAAACAGGCCATAATGTCTACATTCAGGTTGAATCGAGCTACCAATCCACCGCCGCTTCGAGTCATTGAAGTCATCAACTAACGGGAGATGACTTCTCTCGGACGGTGTTCGAAGGGAAGAGTCTGGCTTGGGAGCGCTCAGCCAAAGGGTGTGATCAGATTGGATTGCTTCCCAAGGGGATGTGGTGGGCAGCCTACTGGGGGGGTTCCTTTCGCCCTTCGCACTGTTAGTCTAGCGGTAGTTGCCGCAGAATGTATCGTTGACGGAGATTCAACGAGAAGAACCTTGATGTTTCTGTCATGGCGTTGTGGCAGAAGGGATAGAGATAGACTCAAAAGCATCTTCAATGATGCCAGCAACACAGAAGTCGCGAGTGCACGATCAAACTGTTCCTGTCCCATTGCGGCTTCTATTGTTTGGTCATATATCTTATGTGTGGATAAGCATCTTGAAGGCCTGGGGACTGAACCAGTCGTTAACGTGGGCGGCGGGAAGGGCCCGGGAATGGCCTTGGTGCCCCAGCAAACGGGGTTCGAGGGAGGGAGCGAGGGAGCATAGGAACATCTTCGATCTCTGCGGGTGTGTTAAGCCTTTCGAGTCAATGCACCAGACACTCAATCGCGGTCAATCCCCACATGCGCCACCAACCACGCACCACGAGGCCCATCAACTACTTGAGTATTATGTATGTTTCGCACTCGTCTGAAACTTGGGTACGTTCCCGTCGCTCAGTCCTCACTCTCGACCTCCCCATCTCCCTGGGTGCCCGGTCGTTCCATGCTTCTGTTGTCACTCGCTTAGTTTGTCCTTTTCCTTCAAACGCTTCTCGCGCCAGCGCGTTCAGGACCTGGAGCCTCGGCCTGCCTGCTCCCGGGCCCATTCCTGCGCTGTCACAGACCTCGCCTTCTCGCACCAACCGAGACCAGCCAATCCATGAAGGGTTGCAGAAATGTCGGGCATCCCTGAACTGGAAGACGCTCTGCGCAGGCTCGACGAAGAGCTCGAGGAAGGAGACATCACCCGGAAAGGCTATGAAAAGAGACGCACCCTCATTCTTTCGCAGTACATCAATGCACCTCCGCCGGGACTGCAATCGCAATTGCAATCGCAACCCCAACCCCAGTCACGAGGACTCCGCATACATTCTCCTGACGACAGCGATCATCCCGCCCCCAATGAGGCTTCTAGAGCTGCCTCGCTTGCTGCCCTCACCGGCCGACCAGTGGGCAGCCCCTCGAGAAATGGGACAATGACTGAGGACCACCCCAGCATGAGCCGACGGGCCTCTGTGCTCAGGGATGAATACAACGATCCTAGGAGGAGCATCACTCCCCAAGGCCACCTCCAAAGGTTCCAAGAGAGGGAAACAGGAAGTCTACCACATGGATCAATGTCGGGTTCCTCCTTTGACGGCCGGCGTGAGACCTTCATGACGGCGAACGATCAATCCCGCGCCGAGACGCTGCTGAGCCAGAACTACGCCTTTAATCCTGAAACCCAACAAAATTATGGCGGCATAGACACTCGTAACTCTACCATGCTGGATTCACAGCAAGGCTACTTCTCCGATTTTGCAGGTCAACAACGAGAAGAACATCAAGAGAACTACGGAGGCAACGTACACAGGTATTCACAAAGTGAGGTGACCTCGCCCACAGCCCAGATGGTCCCGCCGTTTCTTGGTGCTGGAGAGCTTGCCGGAGGTGCCGCCATACATCAGATGCCCTTGGAGCCGCGCGAAGTACCGTTCGCCATTTGTGACCCACATGACTCGCATATCGAGATGTCGAGGTTTGAGAACATCGCCGCGGTCCTCCGACATCGAGCAAAGACAAACCCCAAGCAGGCGGCCTACTGGGTGTTGGACCAAAAAGGTAAAGAGCTCGTCTCCATCACCTGGGAGAAGTTATGCAGTCGGGCGGAAAAAGTTGCTCAGGTCATTCGCGACAAAAGCAGTCTGTACAAGGGAGACCGAGTTGCGCTGATCTACACAGAGAACGAAATAATTGAATATGCGGTAGCACTGCTCGGCTGCTTCATCGCTGGGGTGGTCGCTGTACCGATCAACGACCTCAAGAATTACGCCAGATTGAACGTCGTATTGACTTCTACACAAGCACATCTGGCCTTGACCACGGAGGCCAATCTAAAGAATTTCCAGCGAGATATCACTGCCGCCAAGCTGAATTGGCCCCGTGGCGTGGAATGGTGGAAGACCAACGAATTTGGTAGCTATCATCCGAAGAAAAAGGGCGAGGAAGCGCCCCTTGTGGTGCCGGATCTTGCCTATATCGAGTTTTCGATGGCTCCTACTGGTGATCTTCGAGGCGTCGTCATGAGCCATAAGACTATCATGCATCAAATGGCCACACTCAGCGCAATGATTACATCGGCGACAAGCAATACCAAAGCTGATACGTTCAATCCTTCTCTGCGCGACAAGCAAGGTCACTTGATTACTGGTTCGAGACATGGCGAGATAATACTCAGCTATTTGGATCCGAGACAGAGCATCGGGATGATCCTGGGGGTCTTATTAAATATCTATGGAGGACACACGGTGATATACATTGACCAGCGGACTATCGAGACACCGGGTCTCTACGCGAATCTCATCACGAAGTACAAGACAACGCTGCTCGTAGCAGATTACCCCGGGTTAAAACGTGCCGTGTACAACTACCAAGCGGATCCGATGACGACGAGGAACTTCAAACGGAACTTTGAGCCTAACTTCGCCAGCGTCAAGTTGTGTATGATTGACACCTTGACCGTTGACGTCGAATTTCACGAACTACTTGCAGATCGCTGGCTCAAGCCACTTCGCAATCCCAGGGCGAGGGAAATCGTGGCCCCTATGCTCTGCTTGCCCGAACACGGCGGAATGGTGATTAGCATGAGAGACTGGCTGGGGGGAGAGGAACGCATGGGCTGCTCGCTGTCCCATGAGATGGACCGTGATCACGAAGCAGAGGAGAAAAAAGAAGAACAAAGCGCGACCACAAAATCCAGCTTCGGCAGTAGCCTCATCGGAGGAGGGACCAAGCCTTCCAAAGAACGTTCGACGGAGGACTTGGGTGAAGTGCTGCTGGAAAAGGAGGCTCTCAAGACGAACGATATTGTGGTCCTGGCCATGGGCTCCGAAGCAAGAACGAAAGCTAGCTCCTTTCCTAATGCTGTTCGATGCGGAGCATTCGGATATCCAATTCCCGATGCCACCCTTGCCGTGGTTGATCCCGAGTCGGGTTTGTTGTGCACACCAAATTCCATAGGTGAGATTTGGGTCGACTCTCCCTCACTGTCTGGAGGCTTCTGGGCTCTCCCAAAGCATACCGAAACAATCTTCCATGCCCGGCCATTTTGTTTCAAGGAAGGTAATCCCACGCCAACCGCCATCGACCCCGAATTTCTCCGCACAGGTTTACTCGGATGTGTCATCGAGGGCAAAATCTATGTTTTGGGCTTGTACGAAGATCGACTCAGACAACGGGTTGAGTGGGTTGAACACGGTCTAGCGGTGCAGGAACATCGTTATTTCTTCGTCCAGCATTTGATCCTCAGCATCATGCGAAATGTGCCCAAAATTCACGACTGCTCCGCTTTTGATTGTTTTGTCAACGACGAACATCTCCCTATAGTCCTTCTTGAATCTCCCTCGGCGTCGACAGCTCCATTATCCTCAGGTGGTCCGCCACAACAGCTTGATATCGCGCTGCTTGACTCGTTGGCGGAGAAAACGATGGAGGTTCTATACCAAGAGCATCACCTCAGAGTATATTGCGTCTTGATCACAGCGCCAGGGATTCTACCGCGGGTAACAAAGAACGGCCGGCGAGAAATTGGCAATATGCTCTGTCGCAAAGAGTTTGACAACGGAGCACTTCCTTGCGTCCACGTCAAATTCGGCGTTGAGCGCGCCGTGAAAAACCTTCCTGTTGGAGAAGATATCAATGGCGGCATCTGGTCCCCCAACTCAAGTGCTGCGAGAAGCGACCTTCTCTACGGCCAGGAGACGCAGTGGTCGGGTGTTGATCCTCGCGAGGTTGTCATCGATGATCGAACATCAACAGCTCTGAGTAATTTTACAAATATTTTTGACCTGATGCAGTGGCGAGTGGCGCGACAAGCGGACGAGCTCGCATACTGCACGATCGATGGGCGAGGGAAAGAAGGGAAAGGGCTGACATGGAAGAAATTTGACCATAGGGTGGCAGCCGTGGCCTTGTACCTGCGGAACAAGGTCAAAGTGAAGCCCAGCGATCACCTTATTCTGATGTACACTCACTCAGAAGACTATGTGTTTGCCATATATGCGTGTATGGTTCTGGGAGCCATCGCCATTCCGGTCGCCCCGCTTGACGCAAACAGATTATCGGAAGATGCACCGGCATTCCTGCATATTGTCGCCGATATGGGTGTAAAGGCTGTTCTATGCAACACCGACGTCGACCACCTATTCAAACAAAAGATTGTTTCGCAGCACCTCAAGCAGTCTGCTCAGTACCTGAAAACGCATATTCCAAGTGTCTATAACACAGCAAAACCGGCGAAGCAGTCTCATGGCTGCAGAGAGCTCGGGTTGACGATTAATCGTTCTTGGATATCTCCAACAAACCCGGTGATCATCTGGACATATTGGACGCCGGATCAGCGTCGAGTCTCTGTTCAGCTGGGCCATGACACCGTTTTGGGCATGTGTAAGGTCCAGAAGGAAACTTGCCAAATGACAAGCTCCAAACCGGTGCTCGCCTGCGTGAGAAGTACGATCGGAATGGGATTCCTTCATACCGTCGTGATGGGCGTGTACAACGGCAGCACCACCTATCTGATCTCGCCGCTTGACTTTGCGCAGAATCCTGTCTCCCTCTTCCAGGCATTGTCCAGATACAAAGTCAAGGATACATATGCGACCAGCCAAATGCTGGATTTTGCAATGGGTCACGTTGTTGGCAAAGGTTTCTCTTTGCACGAGTTGAAGAACCTCATGGTGACTACGGAGTCGAGGCCTCGTCTCGACTTATTCTCGAAAGCGAGGTTGCATTTTGCCCAGACAGGACTCGAAAGGACCGCTGTCAACACGATATATGCACATGTTCTCAACCCCATGATCGCATCTCGCAGCTATATGTCGATCGAGCCAATAGAACTCTGGCTTGATGTCCGCGCTTTGAGAAGGGGTCTCATCTACCCGGTCGACCCAGACACAGATCCGACTGCTCTGTGTGTTCAAGATTCTGGCATGGTACCAGTGTCTACCCGCATCGCTGTTGTAAATCCCGAAACCTGTCAACTATGTCATGTGGGGGAATTTGGTGAAATCTGGGTTCAATCAGAAGCATGCGCCAAATCGTTTTACATGTCGAAACAGGTGTTTGATGAAGAACGATTCAACGGGCGGATCATGGGCGGTGACCCGAATGCAACCTACGTCCGAACAGGGGATCTCGGATTTCTGCACAATGTCACCAGACCCATCGGGCCCGGCGGGCAGCCCGTGGAGATGCAGATATTGTTCGTATTGGGCAGTATTGGCGAGACATTTGAAGTCAACGGCCTCAACCACTTCCCGATCGATATCGAGAGTACAATCGAGAAGTGCCATCGGAACATTACTCCTGGCGGGTGTGCTGTCTTCCAAGCTGGTGGCATGGTTGTTGTCCTGGTCGAAGTCTTCCGAAAATCCTACCTGGCGTCCATTGTGCCGGTCATTGTCAATGCCGTCCTTCACGAACATCAAATCGTTGTCGACATTGTGGCCTTTGTCGGCGACGGCGACTTTCCTAGGAGCAGGTTATCAGAGAAGCAGAGGGGCAAGATCTTGGCCTCGTGGGTCACGAGAAAATTACGAACCATTGCCCAGTTCGGGATTCGAGACGCGGATGGACCCGACGGACAAGTCTCTGCAGCACCCGGTGAACGCAAAGCCACCAGTCTGGTGAGCAAAACTCTGTCAGTGAATCACCCAGATCAGCGGCGAGCGTCGATCGCCTCAGAGCCCAGGGGGAATGCTCAAGGAGACAGAATGTCTGGTCGGTCAAGCCTTGTCCCAGAACTGCCCTTCTCATTACCACCAAATCATTATCAGATTGATCCGACCGGTCTATATGATCCTGCGGCGTCTGATGGAAACCGGGCAGGGGTATCTCTTAGTGACAGGCCCTATACCCTTCCTGAAGGGGTAGTTGAAATGCCAACTACTAATTTCGACGACACGGACGACCAAACTAATCCCTATCTTACTGACGAGAAATTCTTCGACCCAAATGCTGACCCAGATCAGCAATTTGACGATTACACTCCTCAAGGCTCGCAACTTGACCTTACTAGGACAGGACCGCCCAGGCTCTCACTGGTCAACCCCAACGATCACTCCACGGGCAGCAATGACAATACGCCGACTTCTTACGCCGCCAGTGCCACGCCGACATCAGCCATCCCGAACGCATTAAAAACACCCATCGAGCGAGGTGAAGACAGTCCCTACGAAGACCAAGGCAATCCTTTCCGGAACTCCATCCCGGCGTCGGTGCCTAGCTTTGACTTCATCACGCATGCCTTTTCCCCCTCGTCGTCGCAGCCGACGAGAAATCCCGTTTCCGCTCGGGATCGAATGGCCAGCGCCAGTGCGGCATTCAGCAAAGTGACTTCGCCAACCGTAACCACTCCAACTGCGAAAGGAGGCCGTGCGCTGCTTCCTAGCCAACAAGCCCGATACCCCAACTACGGGGCGAATCCAGAGCCACTGCCTGTACGACGAGCAAGCGACAAGTCGTACGAGATCAAAGATTTGCCGCAGGAGGCGTTGACATACGCTGCTTCGACACAGAGCAGGAGATCTGGGTCCTCGACGTACCAGGAGAATCAGAACCAGGATTCCAACCTCCTGCATCCGAATGACGGAAGACAGAGCGTGGACTTGAGCAGCGTTTCAGGAAGCATCCGGAGGAGGTATGACGGGAGTGGGTATGATGACTATGAGTACTAATTGGCGTCCAAGCAAACGGGACTGCCGCCATGGCGGATTTGAGCTGTCCAAATTCTTTGTGATATAGTGTGACTTGAGGTACTATTGGTCAAGAGACGGCAAAAATTGGCAACCGAGGACGACCCGAAATGATTATGGGGCATGACAATAAATACCGGCGCTGCTCAATGGAGTTAAGCGCTAGCCTTTCTATTAGAATTCTGGGATGTTTTCGACTTCGGAGACCCCGAAATCAGGTGCTAAGAGACCTTCGGTTTCCAAGAGCCGCAGTAGAGGCCCATTCGGAGAAGTTCGTCTCAGCTCGTGGGTGGTTTCGTTCGCTTACTCGTGGTTGGTTAGCTACCTACAGTAGGTAGTTCACTGTTCCGTCTGTCGATTCAGTCTTCGAGGGCTAGAGAGGGGCGTACAGAGACAGATAGCCTTATCATCTTGGAGAAAGAGGGGCACTCAGCCTCGTGGCGCGTCGTCATAGTCGTCCCATCTCCTTTCCTCTTTCCCCCGCATGTTCGCCGCGAATCGATTGCCGCGGCCTTTTCGCCCAAAACAACCTTCCCAAGGGCGGGGAAATGGCTGCCACAATGGCAAGAATCCCCGCTTCTCCGAGTCAGTGTCGGACGGGGGATTTTTACAGAGAAGGGATTGGGAGAGAAGTGAAAAGAAGGATGAGGAGGAGTAAGGTGGAGGAGACGCACGAAAACAAGAAGTCTCATGACGGATTTCTATCACGACGCTCCTGGGTCCAGCCAGTATTAACATATCTATCTATCTGTCTACATACCAAGCACATAACATAAGCGAAAGCTCTTAAGCAAAGCATTGCATTTTCAGAACGAGCCTCGACTCTCGACTTCCCGATCGATTTTCTCTTTTGCCCCTCCCTCCCTCCGTCTCTTCCACCCCATCCGGGCATTGAATCACACCCTTGTTGGACAAGTCGACTCGAACTGCTCTACATAAAATCGAGCAATTCATCCCGGCACGCTTGAGAACACCCGCCGTGGTCGAAATCCGAAGAAGCTAGACAAGGCGCTGAAATACCCCTTCGACGCCGTTGCTCAGTGACCAATATGCCTCCAGCTACAATGCGTGCCGTCGTCCTGAAGGGCGACTTCCATGTAAGTGGGAAAAGACCTGATCAACACTCCTTGCTTGCTCGCTCGATGGAGCAAATTTTCCAGAGGTGTTCCCAGGCTCCTATCTTGTTGCTCACCCCCCGAGACTGGGGAGGGTCTTGCGTGGCTAGAGCGGCGGGGACCAAAAGGAAAAAGGGGAAAGAAAAAAAGACGTTTAACGGCAAAGCAACGAAAGGGCTGACCATACTGGTGTTTGACTGTGGCATTATAGGTCGAAGTGGAAGATAGACCGTACCCGAAGCTCCAGAAGCCCACGGACGCCGTGCTCAAAGTGACCTCGACTGCTCTCTGTGTAAGTATTTGCTCTCCTCCACGCCTCCCAAACCTCTCTCTCCTGTCTCCATACACAGACCCCCCATCCGTTCTTCATGGCATGGTAGGAGATCCCAATTCATTGAATGGCTCTGCTTTAGGGCTCGGACCTCCATTTCTACCGCGGACACTTGAAATGCCCGCCGGGCTTCGTCTGCGGCCACGAGTTCGTGGGCACCATCGCCGAAAAGGGCGACGCGGTCACCAACTTCCAGATCGGCGACAAGGTCGTGGTCCCCTTCTACACGGCCTGCCAGGAGTGCTACTACTGCGTGCGCGGCCAGGCCAGTCGGTGCATCAAGGGCGAACTGTTCGGAAACTCGGTCCCGGCCAACACGGTCGACGGTGGGCAGGCCGAGTACGTGAGGGTGCCGTTGGCAAACACCACGTTGGTCAAGGCCCCGTCTGGTGAGTTCACAAAACACCTACCCGACCCAACACCACCCAGCAAGTCCACTTCCCCACCCCTTTGTGGCCTATTTGTCACTACTTCCTTTCATGCTCTGGCGAGGCTTTCTCATTGACGTGGCGTGCGTGTGCTTGCCAAACAGGGATCCCAGAGGAAATGCTCGTTCTGATGGCCGATATCTTCCCAACGGGCTACTTCGCGGCGTCGCGGTTCTTGAAGAACCTGCCGCAGCGCGACCGCGACGAGTTCACCACGGTGGTCATCGGGTGCGGGCCTGTGGGTATCTGCGCCATCACCTGCGCGCTGACGATGGTCAAGACGGTGTACGCGATCGACTCGGTGCCCGAGCGGCTGGCCGAGGCGGAGAAGATCGGGGCCATCCCGATCAACCTGAACGACAACCCTGTGGAGAAGATCAAGGCGGCGAGCGGCGGGCGCGGTGCTGACGTAGTGCTCGAGGTGGTCGGACATACCGACGCCTTCATGCTGGCCTTCGACATGATCCGCCCCTTTGGCCAGATCTCTTCCATCGGCGTGCACACCGAGATGATCCCGCTTAACGGCCTGCTGTGTTACGGCAAGAATGTCACCATGGCCTTTGGCCGGTGTCCCGTGCGCAGCATCTTCGAGGACGCCCTCGATATCCTGGTCAAGGAGCAGAAAAAGGTCGCGTTCCTCTGCGGCCGCACCATGTCCCTCGAGGATGCGCCCCAGGCCTACAAGGACTTCGAGGCCAGGAAGGTCCACAAGATCGTCTTCAAGATGCCTGGCGAGCAGACCGGCCAGGCTGTCGCGGACAAGGTGTAAGGAGAGTGGTGGGGATATTAAGATACCTGGATATGTATGTATGTATATATATATATGTACGTATGCTAGGGGTTCCCCATTTTTGGTCCGCTGCGGTTCAACCACCAACATTGCCACAGCTCCAGGGCCCAATATATGCAAAACATCCAAGCGTAATCTAGGAATTGCAACTTCAGGGCAGTGACCAGCTCGTAGAGACTCATTTGGACTGGAATTCTTTCTCTTCCGTCTTTCGATCCTTGTATCATGGATATCGACGGGCATCGCCCATATTTTATTTCCGTCGCCCCTTTCGTATCGCAAAACGGGATCAACGCTGTGAATTTGGTCGAAAAGCGTTGTCGAGGCCCCCTAGCGCTCTGTTGCAAGGCGTGTGGCTCTGTTGGCCGCTATCGCACCGAAGTCGCACTAGAGGATGAAAAAGAAATAAAAACAGGCAATGAAGGGTTTGTGTAATGATATTTCAGAGGCTTGGAAAGATCTCGTCCATGGGCGACTTTACCGTCTACGCGGGCATGATATTATGTAATTTGTCCTTCGTAGTGTTGAGCCTTCGCGATCACATCCCTATAGTATTATAGCTTTGAGTTTTCAGGTGTTGCGTGCATTTGCGTAGGCCCCTCCCTCCCCATGACGTGAGTGAGAAGGTTGTGTAGTGGAAGGAGGAGGAAGAAGGGGGGGAATGGTTTTGCCAAAAAAAAAAGGCGATGCCACAAGGGCTGACGGCTCCACGGGTTGTCCTGTACAGGACATTCAAAAGTTTGGTTGTGGCGGGTAACACTGGTGAGGGACTGCATGGACATGTCGAGGAAAGACGTGTAGAGTTGAAAGAGAAGACGACTCCTCCCGGGATACGTCCCTTGGGAAAAGATATATGTGTTCTTCCCCGTGGGACCGTGCTTTGGCTGTTCTGCCAGGATCAGGGAACCATGATCCCCGGAAAGAAAGGGGGCCCCCGGCTGACGGGGCTCGTGCCTTTTTCCAGCACTTTGTCGTTAGGATCGATTCAGGATCAAGCCTTATCGCGAATGGAAAATCAGCTTCTTGCTCGGATTTTGTGGATAGCTAGGTGGGAGAGAGCCCTTTCCGGTGCAGCACTTCGTGGGAGCCCAGAAAGGCGAGCGAGCTCAAGCGCCGCTTGTTTTAGGAGCCAGTATCCTCTAGTCTTGTCTTGAGCAATGAGACTTCCACAACAAAGCGGGCCCAGCTTTCCTCATGGTCCTGGTCTTATGTTCATCACTCATTCGCGGACCCTGTTTGTTCAGTTCTCCCGCCTCCGCCACAGAGAACGCCATGGGCATCATGGGCCATCCAAGTGGCAGCCAGTTCCAGCGGTCGATTCTCGAGGACGAAACAAACGGTTTGCACCGCGTGAGAGAGGAACTGAATTCACCAACGCCGAGGCCGAGAGATGAGTTACTTTTGCTATGCTCATAATATTTCCTTAACCAAAGAAAAGTAGGTTGGTCACGGAACGGCGCAGAATTGGAGCGTTCCGGCCATAGCGGTTGACGCTCCAGCATGCCAATCGCGGCGGTACCCAGTTCTGGGTGGTCGTATAATGCGCTGCACTGGGGCGCTCTGAAAAGGTTGATGCGCGGAATAGGTGGCGTGTGTGGCACATCTTCTGATAAATGGGTTACACACCCTCAAACCCGTCCACGCAAGGATGTAGAAAATCAAGCTGCTGGACACTTCCACCGTCTGAAGAAGGGTCCCGACGGCTGGCAGCTGGTTCGAGGCTAGGAGAACACGTACCAGATGACCTCATGATGAGATTCTATGCTGAAGTCGTCTTGCAACGATCCATATTGTTGATGGGTGTCGGATGCGTGAAGCATCTGTTTGTATGCGATGGACGTAGAATGATGCATTGGGCTTGGAAGATTGCCCTGGTACTGTAACATGGCCACCGATAACGGAGTTTCGAGACAGAGCTGCCATCATTTTCTGTCCGCCGATTGGTTGTATCGAAATGGCGACCTCGGTCTCGCGAAGTCGAGCTCCATGGCGCGAGTTTCCGAGATTGTTGCCGGTGGCTGTTGTCCCCCGTCATGCCCGCCGTGTGCCGGCGAGGGTTTCCGAGAGAACACATACCTCCTCTATTTGAGGCCCACCTTCAAAACATTGTGCTGTCTCGAGAAACAAACACTATGCCATGTATCATAGCGAACTTGGACCTCGCAAAGTGACCAGATGATTGATCAAAAAGCCTCGGCGCCCTTTTCTTTGTAGCTTTGGCCTGGCGTCCCTCTCTTCGAGCAAAGGTACCACCATTGATACAATCACCAATACACGTCCTTTCGTGAAATAATGCTGAAAAACCTGCGACCCAGAGGCCTCGCGCTCACTGTCGGCCTTCAAAGCCGGTGCGCGGTGCTCAGTGGGCGGCAACTAAAGGACAACGAGGGCCTAAAGAGTACTTCGAAATCGACTCCGCGAGAGAGACTCGCCAGCAGGCCACGACGGGTTGGTTGCCAACGTCGCTTTGCGTCGACAACCACAGACAGGCGCGGAGCCCAGTCGACGAGGCCTCTTGACGGCATCACCGTCGTCAGCATTGAACAGGCCATTGCCGCTCCATTCTGCACGAGGCAGCTTGCCGATCTTGGTGCGCGTGTCATTAAAATTGAGAGGCCCGGGGTGGGCGATTTTGCACGAGACTACGACACTCGCGTGAACGGACTTGCCTCGCACTTTGTCTGGACGAACCGATCGAAGGAGAGTTTGGCATTGGATCTGAAGGCGCCTAGGGATCTGGAGGTGCTCAAGAAACTCCTTCACCAAACCGATGTCCTTGTGCAGAATCTAGCTCCTGGCGCATCCGCCCGCCTGGGTCTCGCGTATGAGACGCTGAAGGACATCCATCCCCGCTTAATTGTCTGTGATATTTCCGGCTACGGCCAGGACGGGCCATACGCTACGAAGAAAGCATATGATTTGCTGGTCCAGAGTGAAGGAGGAATGCTCTCCGTGACCGGCACCAAGGATGAGCCTGCGAAAGTGGGCATATCGATTGCCGATATCTCTGCTGGAATGTACGCTTATAGCAACATACTTGCCGCGTTGATGCAGCGGGAGAAGACCGGCAAGGGGAGCAAGATTGACATCTCGTTGCTTGAAAGTCTGGTGGAGTGGATGAGCTTCCCATTATACTACACTTTCCAAGGTGCGCCGGCGCCGACCCCGACGGGCGCCTCTCATGCAGCGATATATCCTTACGGACCCTTCGAGACAGGCGACGGCGGCTCAGTCATGCTCGGAATTCAGAACGAACGAGAGTTTGCGAGGTTCTGCGACATTGTTCTGGGCAATCCAAGTTTGGCCACTGACGCCCGCTTCGCAAACAACTCTCTCCGTGTGCAGAACAGAGACGAGCTTAGGGAGATTATCTGCAAAGCCCTGGAGAAATATTCAGTCTCGGAGGCTGTGGAGAAGCTCGAGATGGCCCAGATCGCAAATGCTGCAGTGAACACGATGCAAGGTGTTTGGGAGCATCCTCAGTTGCGTGCCAGACGCCGATGGACGGAGGTCGAGACATCGAAAGGGGTGATTCCTGCCCTTTTGCCGCCCGGATGCGTTCCCGAAGGCCAGGACGTGGAGGGTCTGCATGCCAGGATGGATAAGGTGCCAGAAGTTGGTGAACATAATGAGAAGATATTGAAAGAGTTGGGCATGTAGGACTTGAAGAAGGCCCAAGTCACAGGGTGAAGGAGCCAGATCAAGGGAGGGATTGTCTATCGTGATGAACCCGAGAACATAATGAGAAACCGTCCTTACCGAAATCACCAGCCTCGGTGCAGTTGGTGGTCGAAATCCTATTTCCCATGTGTGTCAGAGCCTTTCCTTTTCGGGCACCGCCTGCCGTGTACATTGTACAGTATTTCCACGAGGCATCTCCCTCGACCGGCCCTTGTTGGTGTCAACACGTATACCGCGATAACGCATGTCTTTTGGGTTTCCGTTGGCATGGTGGGCTAACCTCTCGTAGCAAAATGGGAGAATTACACGTGGAAAGCCATGACCCGACAAGGACCACAAACAGCCCCGTCTCATTTCCGCGAAACCAAAAATCTTCTCAGACCACACTGCCCTGACCATGTCGCCTCCAGGTTTGCAGAGGGCAGAAGTCTTGGAATTTCACCCCTCCGTAGTAGAAAGAGGGATGGCACCTCCGACTCCATTTCATAAGTTCAGTGTCTATGCTGGACGCTGAATTACATTACGAAAAGTGACAATCTTGGGAATGTAGCCACCATCAGGTTCCGTGGCGGGGATCTTGAGTTGAGCAGTACAAGCACAGTACCGCTACGAGGCACTTGGTCCTTAGTTCCTCACCCATCGTCTTCCAGCGTCCGAAATGAGAGACGAATCCTAGGCGAGATTAACGAATTATTGCAGGTGAATAACTAGTTGGGGCGGCTTTTCTGTTAGCAGCAGCAGGATAATTTACCGAGACCTGCCTTGCCGTAGAGGAAGTATCCCCTGACACAAACGACATACTCGTCCGCCTCCAGTACCTAAATGCACACCCTGTAGATTTAATCTCTTCATCTGGAGTTTCATGCCCGGTCGAAGTGCATTTCGCAAACAGCGTTTAGCACCAAGTGGATCATAGCTGGCCTCTAGACCTGACAATTTCATCAAGCTCGCCGCACGTTTCTAAGGCTACCTGAGGCACAGGGACAAATGCTGTTCTGGAAACACCCCCAGGAGTCTTTAAGTATTCCCTGTTCCTGTCCTTCCACAACCAACCCGCTCATCAAAATGGTGCAAATCACCCATTCACTGACGCTGCTATGCAGCATTTTGTTGACGTTGAATCTCTCTTTCGCCTCTGCCTTTGTTGTACCGAGGTCATCATGCCAGAGCCCCAGGATCAGGAAAGAATATGGCTCTCTCTCCACCAAGGAGAAGAAAGCTTACATCTCAGCGGTCAAATGCCTGCAGAGCAAACCTTCCAAGTTTCCCGCCGGAGTGGTCCCAGGCTCAAAGTCTCG